TGTGACTTCGAAGAAAATGCTGTCAATAGGTTGTTTTAAATTGATTGGCATCTTTGATGAGTGCTTCGTCTTTTCTTTCCCTCTGTTGTTCCTGTCTGTCTGTCTGTCTTGCTTCTTCCTTCACCGGGCGATCGTATTGTGTCGATGTGCTTTTCTTTACTCAAACTCAAACTGCGTTTTATAGAGTAAAAGGTGCCACTTTTGACCACATGGATTTTGTTGCTGTTCTGGCTTATATGGAAAAGTGCTTCTCTTCATTTTCCCTTGAAAGCATATCTATGTCGAAAACTACTTTTGTGCAATTGAAAAATATAATTCATTAATTGTGGAGTATGCTGACAGACTGAGGTACTTTTTAGCTTTTATCCCTATGGACATAGATAAGCCAAATTCAAAGGCTGAGTTTGTAAAGAATGTTTTTATGGAATGCTGAAAGACATGTTGAATTTGAAGAAAACGCCATCAGTTGAAAAATCAACGAATTAGACCCTTTTTTCAATTTTCGACCAATATCTGATCCCCATTTGCATATATTGAGAGAAGTATCTCATTTTGTCGGAACCTCTCAAAACTTCTGTATGGTTGAATGTGAATTCCTAAATACTGGATTGCATGTCTCTTTTTACATGAAAATTTCCTTTTCAGTTTTTGTGTGTTAAAATAGTTAAATAGACTTAGTATAGTTGTAGGCCTACAAATATTTCAACTGGAACGAGAGGCATTGCGTATATTACACATATGTATGCATTGATGAAAGTCGCAGGATTTTTCCTTAGGTTTAAGAAACATCTGTTGGGGTTTTTTGTGTGCAGATATTGTGTCTCCACTAGCCTTCTGATGATTGAAAAATGTTGTCAAAATGATACACTTTGATTGTTTGGTGATTTCTGTGTTTTATTTTAAAGGAAAGACCTTGGTTTTTTCCATCACAAAAATGTATGATACCTCAAATGTTCCTTGGAAGCTTTATGGAATTTTTCATGAACTGATTTTGAAGGGGAAGGTTCACTGAAAAATACTTTTACTTTACTCACTGTTCAGAGAAACTAGATGCTTGCGAAGAAACACCCAGTTTTCCAGTATTGTACTAATACATTTACTAATAATGTACTTTTGTCATCATGTGTTTTTTCATTCCACTCACTGAGATTTATGGACAGGGATAATGCCATTTCTAATCATGAGCTTTCTTCCCTTTTGTTTCTGTGTCGATAAAAGTAAAGTGTAGCTCCCCCCAGCTCGAAGTGCTTGACCTAGTATGCGACATCCAGGGTGACCTTCCGGTCGTGCTGTGATCGTCGTGATACAGAAAGAATTTTGTGGGTAATTGGTGGGTGGTCTGGTATAGTTTGCTCCTTCTTTCCTTTCAAACATCTATCGTCCTTATCTCTTCTTCTTTTTTGTGTTTGTTAGACTCTTGTAACACCTCCAGTCTGTGGCGCCTCTATGACCTAACTGTGTTGCAAGTACAGTAATGTAAAACTCTTTCTTAAAATAAAGACTTGGGGGGGGATCTACTTGACCTTTACTTTTCCCTCTGTGACTGTGTGACCGCCTGTAGGTTTGTTTGTTTGTATGTGGCGGTGTTGTTCCGGACACCTGGGCGGGGCCTCCCCTAGTGTTGCTGTGGACGTTGTCCGAAGCTGGTCGTGCCAGGCGACGGCGACATTTTTAGCCAGGCTTACTGTCTACTACAGTGTTTTATTATTTGCTCATCATGGCAAGTCCGCTCTATTTGCATGCTTCTCAAACTTTATGTCATGTTATTATTATTATTATTATTATTATTATTATTATTATGACGATGATTCTACTGTACATGTTGATGCTGACGCTTTCTTTTTATTGTTGTTTGTCATGTATACTTCTTTCAATGATTTACACGAGCTTGCAGGGCAATGGAGGAAGTCATGGTGGAATGGTGGGGCTTGTTTTGTAAACCACACCAAGTCCTGAGAAAGGTAGAGAAGTTAGTATTTTGTATTCTGGGTCGTTGGGTTCTCATTGATAAATTACTCGCTGCCCACCAGCGTCTATGGTGTAGCAGATAGGTGCTTCTCTACTGCATGCAGGAGACCCAAGTTCAATTTCAGAATGGAGTGAATTTTTTATCAAGTATCTCGGTCCTTCTGCTGGGATGTTGTATCCCTCCCGGTCTGCATCCTAAATGATCTAAATAAATTGTTGTCTCAATGGGGATTTGAAAACACATACATTAAAAAAATAAATTTTGGACACTTAAAAAAAAAAGTGCAGTACATTTTAGTTGGTAAATGACTTTTGTTATGTGCTCACTGGTGCCATTGAAATATCAGAATTTCCTCTACACTGTATGGATGTTGCGTATTTCTCTGTCCATGATGACCGTGAGGCTGCTGAGAACCCAGGCTTTTACTCAAAAGAAACAAAACAAAGATACCGGTTGTTTGTCAGTTTCACCGATTGATGTCGATGAACTGAAACAGAAGGTCGCTGGAATTAGAGTTGTTCTAAGATTCTTTTCTGCGATGTGCACATACTAACGATTATTCTTTCTCTTTTTTTGTTCCGTATGTTTTTACTTTTTGCTTTCTTCTTTTTAAACTGTATATCCTTGATGCTGGATGTATTAAGCCTTTGAAGTGTCTCTCTGAAAGTTCCCCTCCCCTTGCCTGTCGATTTTTATGTTATATTGAATAAATAAAAATCAAAACTCAGTTCGCATTTGTTCTTGTTGAATTTTTTTTGGGGTGGCAGTTTATGTCCAAGTGTGTGGAGAGTTTTCTATTTCTATTGGTATCTGTAGTGTAGCGGTTAGGTGCTTCACTGTTGCACACAGAAGACAAAGTTTGATTCCCGAATTAGGAGAATTTTTATTGAGTATTTATTCGGTCTTTCTACTGGGATGTTGTATTCATCCTAGCCTGGGACAGGGTCAGAAACATTTTTTCTGAATGAGATAAATTTTGTCAATGGGGACGTAAAAACATCTACTGTCTTTGGGCCATTCCCAAAGGGGGATATTAATAATGTTCCTATGCACAGTAAAATTGTAAATGGGCTGATTTATCAATGTCTGCCCACACTGTGCCGGAACAACAAAGGGGGAACTGCTTTTTCTTTCCTCATCCTTATTATCGTCATTTTTCCTCTACTTGTTTTGTATGTTTGTCACTCTTGTGAACTGTTATTTCCGGGGTGCTTTGATAGTCGAAGAGAGTAAGAGACGAAAAGAGAACGAGATACACAGAGAGAGAGAGAGAGAGAGAGGGGGGGGGATTGTTAATTGATTCAGGAAGCAACATCCCTGGGTTCCGGACATGTCCGTAGATGCTCCGTTTGCTCTCTCCAAAATGCCTCTGAGGGTCTTTCTACTTATTGTGCCAGTGCATATATCTGGTTGAACGCTCTTCTGTTCTTTCCTGCAAGTGCAAGGTGCTAGATTTCCCGCTTCCTTTTTGTATTCCCAAGGCCATCATTCTCTCCACAGCAGTACTGGCCTCTGCCTCTCCAATTAGGTGGCGAGAGAATTTCAGGATCTCGACCTTGTCTGGTTGAACCATGCTGTCTTCTGAGGTGGCCCTACCAGCCAGTCTGTCGGCTTTTTCATTTCCTTTTAAACGCCTGCATGGCCAAGGCAGAAAATCCACGTGAGCGATCTTATTGGCGTTGCTTCGATCTGTTGAATCCATTCTGATCTCTGGAAACCTTTTTTGATTTTTCTGAGGGCACACATTGTGGAATCTATGATGAATTCGTTTAGTGGGGGCGATGCTGAGTAATTATTCATTCAAGCGCTTTCGTGATGGCTTCAATTTCCATTCCCATACTTAATGTAGCCCTGCTGCAGGCTCCAGATGCTCTGTGGATGATTTTATTGTTGGCGAATGCAACTAATCCCCATCCACTTCGCTGGCTATCTCTTTTCACTGAGAGAGAGAGAGAGAGAGAGAGAGAGAGAGAGAGAGAGAGAGAGAGAGAGAGAGAGAGAGAGAGAGAGAGAGAAAGAGATGGAGAGAGGGAGGGAGAGAGACGTTACCACACAAATACAGACACAAACATACACATCAAGAGGCACGCGTGCAAATCAAGCGAAGGCCACTTAAGAATTAATTAAGAATCTAGAATCATGTTGAATGTGATGGAACCGGCGGCATAATAAAGGACATTAAGTCGGCACTACCGTGCTAAGGCAAACTATTTGGTTATGTCCCTTCCCGTGGTTGTAACAAATCTCCATACATGCGGAGTAGCTCTTCAGTACCTGAGCAGCTAGCTACAGCAACGTGATCGAACATCAAGATGTTCCAGCCTTCCTCCCCCTCCCCTCCTTGAGATACAACAAATACGTTACCCCAGACACACCCACCTCGTGAATGTTATTTTTTTTTCGGTATTGTTTCCCTTTGAACTCATTATTGTTTTTGTTTTGCCCAGCGATTTCAGTATTCCAACCAATAACATACCGAAGTGGCTAGCCGTACTTAAGTACGGCTAGACTGAGAGTCTAGCCGTACTTAAGTACGGCTAGACTGCCAGTCTAGCCGTACTTAGATCTAGGTTTGGCCCTATCTAGCCGTACTTATCTTAGGCCCTATTTACATTAGAAAACAGGAGGTTTAAAATACATGCACTGTCATTAAGGCACCTGGTTTCGTCTCAAATACAAATACTTTAGGTACTGTACACTAAAAATGTATATTATTATATTTACAATTCAGTAGGCCTATTTTTTGTAAATGGTCAATCTAGCCATCATATTAAGAATAAGTACGGCTAGACTACGAGTCTAGCCGTCATTAAGTACGGCTAGCCTCTTCCATAACATACCATTGACTCTTATGATTTGCATGAACATAGAGAGAACTTTTGTCTCTTGACATCATATATCTGTGTAACTGAATACAAGTGGAAATAATGCACAGTAAATAGGAGATTATCTACTGCTACAGTGAAAACCACTGACTTAAACCATCGTGTGGTGCACTACAAACAAGGAATGCTCCCCATCGTTGCTAGGTAACATTGCTCAAAACATCGATTGCGGGCCACGCGAGATCGATATTTTGGAACCAGGATTAGACTTGTTCCCGGTAAATAGTTCACTATTGCAGCAGCTTAACGAAGGTAATTATTTCTTTAGTGATGAGGATATGCAATAATATATTTCAGTATATCAGGATTGTTTGTGGTTTGGCAGCTGAACAGTCAACCTTTGGTAAAACAACTTACTACACTGAAAATTGCGTAGCATGATTTAGCAATCGCCATTCTTTTGCAAGCTCTACACTTTTGTGGCGTTCATTTCAGGCTTCAGCAGACGCGGGACATTTCATCATGGCAGCCACTAAGAGAACACAGCATGAATTGCAACACAAATCGAAAATAGCTCTCCAAAAAGCAACAGATCCAGTGGAAAAACTGCGACTGGCTTGCTTGACGAGGGGAGCAGGAGGAATAAAAGGCCTGGCGAGGTTAGTTGATATGGATCTAGATCTAGATCTAGAATCTAGATCTATCTTTAGATCTAGACTCTAGAATCTAGATCTAGTAGTAAAAATTGACACATAAACAAGATTGATCAAGTTTCTGAGAGACTTCACCCTACCTTGTGAATGATTATTTGTTATTCGTATACAGTGGGTGTCGCATTCAACGAGGTTGCCGGGACCGGCTTGTCGTCCTCGTTGGATCCGACCTCTCGTTGAACGTGATTAAGGCTAAAGAAAAGAAAGGAGACAAGTTATTATATTACACGATGTACCAATACCAGTAATTAAAACAGTTGTTCCCCCTTATGACGAGAATCTCAAACAGCATCAGTGTGCGCGTGTTTGAGCTGTGTTCTGGCCGTCGACATTTCTGCATTTTAAAAGATTTTTTGTTCCGGAACACTTCTCGTGTGGAAACATACCCTCTCACATCTAGGCCCAGATCTTCTTAAAGTGAAGACGGGAGCTTGGATTTTCTAATTAGAGGAAGAAAAGAAAATTGAAAAAAAATAAAGGTCTCAATCTAGACCTATAATCCATCCAGAGTTCATCCAGTTTCACACAGCCCGCATCGCATTCCCACCCACCCCCTCCCATCCCTACCAGGTTTACCCTTGGCTGTCCTCTTGGCTTTGGGGCCTATATTAGGAGGCACACTAGATTATCTAGCAATACAATGTGTTAGGAATCAAGAATGGGCCTTGTGCTTCAAGTGAGATGGAGAGAAAGGTAAAAAATCTTCGCTTTTGGGGCCGCTAATCGCTTTTATTTGGTTATCGCTATCTCGTTGAAACGACTTCAGTCTGTTTGCAACCTCGTTGGAGCTGACGTACATTTACAAAGAGATATAGAGGAAAAATCGAGGATTAAGGATAGCCTCGTTGGAGCCGACTTCTCGTTGAATGCGACACCCACTGTAGTACATCAATATAATATGGGAATATCATTTGCCATGTATTAAAAAACATACATTGTTGTGTTCCAGGGACCTGAAATGCCTGTGATCTATTTTTTGCTTGTTTATGTTTTCTGTTCAGCTTCTTTTAGCTTTCCCCTAGTGACTTGTTGAACCTTGGAATTAACACGCATGGAAAACTATACTTTCATCTCTTGCTATAAATTTTACATATCATGCAAAATAAAGCGTCTGCACATGGCCACCAAAAACTCATGTGTGAGCTTATCCTTTTGTGCTTTTATGCATTACTTTCCTCGCTATCATTTTTATGAACTGGATAATGGTATCTAGAGAAAATTTAGGCCTGCCAAATACCCCTTAAAAAATCTGTTTTGTCTAATAAGTTCTTTTTTGTCTTTTGAAAACTGTTCTAATTGTCGTGAAACGCAATTTTTTTTAGGTTCCTGTCAGCCAACGTATATGGGGTTGACTGTAAGAAAGTAGAAAGAAATACATATATTTATGTTTACACTTTTATGTTATACACTGTGAGTACGATGTTGATCATTTTATGTGACAGATTTGTTTTTCGTAACTGCAAACATATTTTAGTTGCAAGAGTGACAAACTCATTCACGGTTGTTGTAGTTTTTTTAATACCAACTGCAATTTCTCCGTATTTATGACAGAACCTTCAAAATCATGGATGACGATGAAAGCAGAAGTCTTGACAGGAAAGAGTTTGCAAAGGGAATTCATGACTACGGCATCACTGAAATTGAAAAAGAAACCATTGATGAGCTCTTTTCCATCTTTGATAAGGACGGCAGTGGCTCTATTGATTTTGATGAGTTCTTGGTAAAGTTGCGGGTAAGTTCAGTTGTGTTGAGTGATACAGCTGCCTCTACCAAAGACCCCATTGTTGCCTGTGGTCCTATGAATAACATAGAACAGAATTTTTTGCTGCACTAATGTACACCTTGTTATTCAAAGTCAATAACGTCTTTTTTAAGCATCCACGTAGTGGCTAATCACAGAAAATGTTCAGTACGTGTATGGTCATCTGGGATGTTTCAAGTGGTCGTTTAAGATGTTTCAAGACATACTCGGACGGGTAGGATATAAATAAATTCTTTTTTAAGACTTTGTGTTAGTCACGTCTGTTGATTTTCAAGTAAGAGAAGATTATTTTTACTGTTGGGAATTCTCTTTAAGATGGTCAGTACCCTATTTTTTCGAAAGGTCCACTTTTTTTTTTCATTCCTTACCTCTAGGGTATTGAATAGAGGCAACTGTACATATTTTCTCCAGAAAAGGTTCTGCTTTATGAGGAAGGGGGGAAATGACCGAGTTGTCATTCATCATTCTTATTCATTTCTACTAATTTGAAAGTATAAGAGAGATCAAAGGCTGTTTTATTATTTTTAATATCGTGAGTGAGAGCTTCTGATAGCTCATTTGGACACATAAATATTGTTGGTTGTTTGAGGTGAGAAAGAGAATAGATATGAGGAAAGGGCAAATGCTTTTCTTTCTGAGACCTATAATAAATCATGATATAAGTCCCTGAACCCATTCATGCTCTCCCTCATTGACCTCCCATTTCCATCATTGAAATATTGTTATGTACTTTGTCTTCTCTCATACACAACTGTTAATGATATATAATGTGTATTCATTTATTGATTTCATGAATGAGAATTGGTTGAATGGGCAAATTTGAGATGAATCATGGGCTTCAAACCAGTAGACTCCATAATGTAAGACTCCACTATAATACACTATTTTGAAAACTGACGTATGACGGAATTTTACACCGAGCAGGTGAGATGTCGAGCCTTCATAATGAACTTTGTGACTGATCTGGTATTTGCAGCCTGCAATGAGCCAAAACAGGAAAAATCTCATCTACCAAGCGTTCAAAAAGCTGGATAAAACCGGAGATGGTGTAGTCACAATTGAAGATCTGAAGGGAGTGTATTCAGCGTCGAAGCATCCAAAGTACTTGAGCGGTGAATGGACGGAGGACCAAGTCTTGAGACAGTTTTTAGACTCCTTCGACAGTCAGGACAAGGATGGAAAGGTAAGATTGTCGGTTGTTGATCAGCTGTGATGTTCTTTAGGTAAGCATGGTATGTGCAGCAGTCAGTAAATGTTTAGTTCTAGAGAGGTAGCACGCAGTATGCATCTTTTTATTTCACTTTCTTTGGATTCCTGAGAAACAGTTCAAATAAGACGTTCACAAAGCATTCATGGTTTATTTTGTAAGTAAAGAGGCCATGATTAGCTAACATGATTACCTTTTTTGTTTTCTTTCATATTTTATTTTCAGGACTGACATGTAGTTCCTTATATATTCTTGAATCCAAAGAATGGCTTTAGTCATTCCTACAACTTCACGCTTCATTTTCATTTATATATAACGTCTTGCATGTTGCACCCAGACCTTGTGATAGTATTTCTGTTTTCCTGCTTGGTTTTCTCTGTCTGCATCGTCAGCTGCTCTCCAACCACCCACCCCGACAGCTGTTGCACTTTTCTTTACTTGGCTGTTGAAATTATGAAGGTTGTTGGTCCTGTTTCATATAGAGAAAATACTTTGCTTTGACTGAAAATTTAGATAATTGTAATATTTTCCAGCTTGATGTTATGATATAATAACTTAATGAGATCAGTGTGGCTTCCTTTTGTGTTCCTAGGGAAGCTATGTAAGTGACTTCACTTAAAATTTAAATTGATGTTGTGCCAAATTTTTCAATAATAGAATAAATTTGTTGATGGTTTAATTAAAGATGGCGAAGTGTTAGTTTATGTTTTCTGTTGTTGGTGGTAACTTTGTGCAAGATTTTGAAGTCCTTATTTTCTCGAACCTCATCAATAATAGTGAAGAGTAATTTGAGTTTGAGATAGTTTTCGACGTGTTTAAACAAATTGTGGAGCGGACAGCAAAGTTACCGCATAAGAAAAGCTTACGTTAAAATACAGAGTTTACACAAAGTTGACTGGCCAAATGAATGCGATGTGTAGAATTTGAGTGAAATGCGTCCAACTGTCACTGAACTTATTATTGCTACAGGTCTTTGTTTTGGTACAAATCGTCACTTGTCAAACTTAGCATAGAATATTTTCTGTCTAAAGTATATCAGCTGAACTTTTCTCCTCCAACTGTAAGTTTTAAACATTTTAACAATAAGGAAAGATCTAACGTAAATTTTCACCCATCCCATTTCTTTGTTAATTTTTTTTTTCTCTCAAAAAGACAACAGAGGAGAAATAATGTGAAAGTCTTTTCTTCAAGGAGATTTAGATCAACCAGTATCGCATCAACTTTCAAAAAGTTTATCTTCCCAGTTCCCAGCCCATCTCGTTTTTAAAAACATAATTTCATCAAGAACTGGCGTTCTGTTTATACCAATGTATAGTCACTCCCTCTTCTTGTACTTGATCAGTTTTCCGTCCAGAGACTGTTGTTGTACAGTTTTAGAGACGTTAATCAATGGCTAAAACAACTCCTGGACATGGATGGCTGGTGCCTCTATAAATAAATCGTTGATGGTCAAGACGTTAATCAGGAAAGTCGGTTGTGATCATGAGAAGTGTTTGTAAGTTATGGTCTGAACACTTCGGTAGTTGTTATGTCCAGTGAACTCTCTTCAAATGAGACAGGGAGACTGGTGCAGAAAATAATGGCATGTTCAGCTGTGTGGAATGTGTTTGAGAAATAGTTGAGATCTCAACTGATCCTATTTTCTTCAAGAATAGTTCTGTGAAATATAAAATCTGTGAAGTGACTTCAGCGTTTTTATTATTGAACAGGCCACACCCCACCTCCTTTTCATGTTCAGTCCAAAGTTGATGTATATAGCCAAAACTTTACAGAGCTTGACTTTGTTACAAAGAAATTCATTACATTTGGAGAGATGATGTAATTTGTATCTTTTAGACCCCTTATTTTATTAGAAGAATAAAGTGAAAGCTTTTGAAATTCTATCTCCTTTTTGGCCCATGAATGTGGATGGAGGTTTAAAAGACAGCCTAAAAGTCAAGGTTCTTTGAAATCCAAAAGTGTCAGTGAGGGTAAAGGCGACAGTTTTCCTAACTGTGAACCAGCGACAAACCAGGCATGGGCAAACAATGGCCTGCGAGGAGTTTCCGGCTGACCCATGAGTCCACCTTGTAATTGATAATGAATGCTGCCCTCGATGAGCTGCTAATCAATAACAACAAACTGTCTGTCTTGAAAATTTAAGTCAATAGTTTCTAGCCCAGCCGCGAACGATAGATCTAATATTTTATCTCATGAAATGCCCCTAATTGACATAAGCTGAAGTGTCAGTTTTAGTCTCACTTTTGAGAGCTTGGGTGTTTCAAATTATGTTACCCAATATTTTTCTGCTCTGGCTCTCGAGATATTCAGAATCACTTTATCCAGCCCACAACTTGGACATACTTGCCCGGTATGCTTGGTATAAACTTTGTTTCTCTGTATTTGCATCGAGATATCCCAGTATCTTTTATATATGTCTCTCACCTTATTTTCATCACATACACTCACATTCTTATATACTGAAATTTATATACATGATACACTTTAGTCACCATTTTATGTCATGGTCTCTTCACGGTCACCGATGTTTGTTTTTCCAGATCACGCAGGAAGAATTTGAGAATTACTACGTTGGAGTTAGTGCTTCGGTCGATAGCGACGCTTACTTTGATCTCATGATGCGCAATGCCTGGAAATTGTAGTAGTGTTCACCTCATCTACTTCTCTGTGATCGTATTTTCTTTTTTCAAATTTTTGTTTGTTTGCAAAAGACTGATCCAGTTTAGAAATGACTTGTTGGATACATGATGAAGCTTTGTAAATATACATCTAGTATGGGAATAAATGGATTTGTCTTTGATTGTAAGTCGAGTTGTAACACGGAACTGGGATAAGTTGCCTGCTTGTCATGCATGCATGCTGCTTCATATCTCCCTGTCAGCACACTGAGTTTTGCATGTTGGTAACTCGGATAGACCCAATTTAAGCTTATGTGAGGCATCGTGATGAAATCGGGCGCTCGTCAAAATAGTGAAATCAAAGAAGTTGGCATGAGGGGTGGGGTGCTCAACACCTTATAATCCATTAAAACACATTTCTGTGTGGATTTAACATTGATTAAACGCACAAAAAATGTCAATTTTCAGTTTCTAAGTACTCTCAAGCTATGGAAATTACTATATTCTGGCGGCCATTTTCTCGCTAATTTCACCTCTCAAACCTGGCGACCCTGACCTCCTTCAATTGCAAATGTTTCGACTTCTATTCAACACAGATGGATATTTTTTTCATCGAAGCTAAGGCAAATGAACAGGCTTTAAGATGATACCAATAACCCCACAGGCCCAAAAATTGGCGAGTGCCTGATTCCACCTCATTGCGACACATAATATGTCTCTCTCAATTCTGCTCAATTTCAAGGGTAACCCCCCCCCCTCCAACCCCCCTCTCCTCCATTTTAACATTCCTCCCCTTCCTACCCCCAAGAAAGAATTGCATTCCAGTGCACATTTCTGTTCTTGTGATATTTGTGTGCAGATGATTGAATGAGTATGGTTCTATATATTTTGCTGAACAATTATAGTTTTTGTCTTTTGATCTTTCTTCTTTTACCTTCTGGGCTTCTGCTGTCATTCCTACTACAACACTTCTGTCTCTATGGTAAAGGTGATGATAATGGTGATAGTTGCTCTGTTCGCTGATGATGTTGTTTTGTTGTTGTTATCATTGCTGGTTTTTTTATTTGGACTTTTATTTTTACATTTCGAAAGAGGGAATTTAATTCATTGGGAGAATGGTTCCAAAGTAAGTTTTAGTTTTTAATCAGTAAATTATTAGTCCTTGATGTTGGTAACATATGTTCAGATTTTTAAAAAGCCCATGCTCCAAAATATTATTGCTTTACAGTTTGATGTACAACTCTCAAGAACATTTCTGTCTCCTTTCATCTGCTTCTTCTTTTTTGTTTTCTGTTTAGGTGCATACGTGTGTGTGTGAATGTCAAATATATATTCTACTTGTTACAAATCGCTTACTGTAGTACTTACTCAGTGTTGATGTTAACCGAAGTTTTAGATGCTCAATTTATTGAAGAGTTCATTTTAGATAAGCTTTGTATTTTTATTTCCACTATTTATGTAGTTGTATGTTGACACATTTTATTTTGTAGGCTTCTAATTTTACCCATGGTAGTGCATATTTAATTTTACACTTCACCAGTTTCTTGAAAGTTCTGTTGTAAAATTTCTAAGGTTTCACTCATCAGATGAAACAGAGGTTGCTTTTTTTTTTTAGATTCTTTCCACTGAATGGAGGTTTGAAATTTGATTGGACACCTTGAAGAGTTCAGTAAGTCGTTTGCTAAAATCAGTAGACGTTCCCAAAGTCCAACATAAACACTACTGAAAGTTAAAATAACCAGACGTGATGGCACAAGTAAAATTGAAATGGTTTAATTGACACCCTTCCAATTTTTATTCAGACTCCCACCGTTCATAGTTTCTGATTCTCCTCATGAGCGAATTGCAGCTAAAGCAGCAATGTTTGTGACTCATGACTCATCGGTGTTTGTGTAGTTTCTGCTGCCGCTTTGTTCCCACACGCAATCCCTCAACTTTAAGTGTTACTGTTTTGTGAATGTTTAGCCGAGTTGCACTGCTCACCTGAGAATCAAAATACATGTATATGTATCATTGTTAGCTAGACTGCCAGGGTTGTTCAATATTTGCATAAGTGTGCACATCTCACAATATCTGTACCGGAACCACCAATTTGTCAGCTCTTCGGCGTGTTCTGAATTTTCTTGTTATGAATTGAGGAGTTGTGTCTGCCTTCTGTTAAACGGGGGGAAAAAAAGTTTGTGTTTTGCAAAACATCAAAAAGGACTTTCAACTTTCACGAGCATTTAAATGTTTGTTAGTGTTACACCTTCTAGAACTGTTCATCATAATGTTTTGTTTGTTTTTCTTGTGTGCAGCATAGTTTTCCAGAGAGGTTTTCCACTCATGAAATTTGCAAAAGTTAGATGCTAAAAGAATGGCTTTTATGGTGTCAGTCTGATTTTTAAAAATCCAGCACTGATCATTCATAGTTGCTGTTGACTTTTTTGACATGGCTGTAGCACTTTGTACATATATACTTGACATGTTATTCTATATTGGTATACGGTATTAAAAACTGTCAGAATTCAATGATTCTTCGTCTTCTCCTTCAATTATTTTTTTGCAATTGTGTAGTATTAATTCAATAACAAAACGTAGGATGTTGTGTTTTTAACACACAATTTTAATACTTTTGAAAAGTGCTTCTTTTATTCTTAAACCACATTATTAGTACATTTTGTTTTATAGTATTACTACATCTAGTGAAGACAGCTAAAATTAGTAGAAGACTGTGTAAGAATCTGTTTCCCATGATGTGATGTATTGTTTGCTGTTGTCCGTTGGACACCCGTCTGCTTGTTCCAAACTTTCACTTCCACTCCCCCCTGTGAAATTCCAGTTTTGGGTTCCCTCCTCTTCCCTTATTTATATATATATATCACACCACCAAAACGGTCTCGTCACTGGCTTTCCTTTCAATCTATACCTATCATCGTTACTTGGTTAAGACTGTACCTATCTTCTATTTTAATCTCTCTGGTAATGTATCTGTATAAATGATTTGGATATGATATATATACTCAGGGGGATGCAAAAATAGGTATACAGTTACGGAAAAAGAAAATTTGTACAATACTTACTGCATTTATTGTACAAACAATGAGAATTTCGTATATATGCATGTAATAACCAGCACAGCCTTTATTCCTCAGATACTCCAACTATTTGTCGTTGGTATTCACGCATTCCTCAAATAATCTAAAGGAGTTAAGTATCATAACAATGTGGTACTTACTGGGCACCTACTTTTGCACCTTCCCTGTGTATATATTATGACAACTAAATCAAGTCAATTCGAGTGAGTGGTCAGATTACTTTCCATTTTTTTGAAAAACACAAACTTCCACAAAGACCAGTCATATTTTCAATTTATGCAGTACAAGTATAGTAGAGTGGAATGATGTGAAATAAAATCAAGAGGCTAGCCCGGGATAGGGAAAGGTAGAAATTGTTTGGTCGTGGCCTAAACCCTGATCCAGGGTGAGAAAGGCAATGATGATGATGAATATGTGCTCAGACTCAGACTGTTACAATTTTAGAAAAAATCGAAACTTTAAATATGGCCAATTATGTTTCTCATGGCGCAGAGTTCTGAATAATATATCAATATCATCTAGCAGCTGTTCAGATTTTCTAAGTCCAACATTTTGAAAATGATTTTTATTTCAGTTTTTTTAAAATCTATGTCATCGGTTGCATGTGCTCAAGAAATGTTTGGTAGAAATTCAAATTCTAAATGCAAAAAAAAAAAAATTCCTAATGTTGGTGGTAGCTCGGGTTTTTTTAATGAAAGTTTTTTACTCTTGAAAATTTTTGCTGTCTGGACTTACAAAATTTGAACAGTTTGCAGACGATATGAAGAAATTGATCTTGGAGGTTGAGAGAGGAGCCAGTGTGTGAGTTGTTTTCATGATCTGTCCTTGACTGGACATGTTGACCTCCCGGTAGCGGGGCCTGGTTGAAAAAAGAACTTAAAATCTCATAACATTTGTCGCACTGTGACTAAGTAACCACTTTCCAATTCTTCACCTGCATGAGCCTGTCTTCAGCTAGTGGGCTACAAAAATACAGTTTCACATTTTGCCACGAGTGCGCAAGACCTGAGAGTTTTCTAGCTTGTTTTCTTGTTCATACATCAGTAAGGCACAAAATTTCTGGAAAAAAAATCCCCACGGCTATTTCCGGAAATGTGAGGCTGGCAACTGTTGCGAGTGAATGATTTATTTCTCCCCTAGTGACCGGCACACCTCTCTAACTTATATATATATCCAGGACTGGTCCATGGAAGGTGACAAGATCTACAACTTCACCGCACAGTCAAAGTTAGCAATGTCTTTTTCTAAACATTTCCCAAGATGTAACCAGAACGTGTAGTGCAGTGTAGAAATACAAATGACAATGTGTACATAAACTACATGTACATTCGCATCACTCACACTTTCTGCTCTGGGATTTCTTTATTGATACTACTAGTTGATACTAATTATTTATGAAGAAATTATGGGGGGAAAAAATTCCCAGTACAGGAAAATGAAAGTGGAAAGGAGTTCAATGCAGAGGGTTTTAATTTATACTGAGACTCCTACAAGTAACCTTCAATAATTATGATAAGAAATAGAGAGATACTGAGAGAACAGAATATACATTTCACACTACTATGTATGCATCTGCAACGCAAGTTGCTTCAGACAAGAATTCATGGACATCAGTTTTTGTACAAGCGAAGGCTCTGTGAAGCCCACTGCAAAGAGTCACGGCTTTGGTGAGACACGGTGTGTTCCTCCAATGTGTGTTTTCTCTCGTCTTGTCGCGCCCCGTCCGTGTCAGATGTCTGTGTGTAACATGGCCGTCAAGAGCTACATTTTTTCAATACCTCTATAGTTCTTATTCATCTAATTTAGTTTCAGTAAGTGTTTTACGGCATTTGTGACACAAATAAGTCATGATAATATAAACATAGAAGATTAGAGATGAGTTGTTTTTTTTGGGGGGGGAGGGGTTAGGTAAGTGTTTTATAGCGTAAGGTCATATGAACACGCTTAGAGGCGTTACAAGAAAGTAACATGTATACAAAGGAGGAGAGATATATTATCTATATAAGGATGATAGATGTTTGTTGATAGGTAAGAAGAAGCCAACCACATCAGAGCACCCACCAACCCCCCTCATTTATTTAATTGAAACAAGCCGTTGTTGTCCCATGCTGTAAAGAATAACCACACACACGTGTATGTTATGTGTAAACAACAAAGATGTCACCAGCCAGAAGACGACCAACTGGCACGTTGTAACAATGTCATATAAGTGCTGAAGATTAGTCGAGGTTTACTACGGAGCAACATACAGAGAAAAAAGAAGGTGAGTTAAGGACAAAAGGAAAGAAGGAGCAAATCACACCAGAGCACCTGCCAACCACCCACATGTCTATGGTGAGATTTTTTAAGAGTTTTGCTCGGATGTGAGTTCTGATTCTTGAGTGGGAGTTTTCGAATATGGAGGTATCGGATCCATGCAGCCTGCTTTCAAAATGGTTATTTTAAAAAATTGTTTTGTAAGTTTTACAGTACAGCACTTCCAACACAATTAAGTCTTATAAATAATAAATGCCAAGGTTAGAGGTGTTGTTACTAGAGGGTAATGTATAAACATACAAAGAAAAGTAAAAGAAGGAGGAGAATATAAATATAAAGACCATAGTTGTTTGGTGAGAAAGAAAGAGCAAACCAGACCAGAGCGCTTGTCAAACGCCCACTCTTCCAAAATGTGTCAATGAAGGTGTAAAACATTTAACAAGCATTTACAGTACAATCCTACATGGTTTATGAAGAGTGAAGTGGAACCAGGACATGTATGCATGGACAAAGATATCGCAGTAACTGTAACTTATTACAGACTTTGTCTTGTATTACTTACTATAACTTGTAATAGACCAGCCGTTCTCTTGTATCGCTATAACTATGACAAACTTTCTCTTGTTTCGCTATGAATATGACAGACTCTGTTGTATCGCTATAACTATGACAGACTTTCTCTTGTCTGACAATCAATAATTTATTTATTTATTGCTATAACTATGACAGACTTTCTCTTGTATCGCTATAACCATGACAGACTTTCTCTTGTCTGACCATCAATTTTATTTATTTATTGCTACAACTATGCCATCTTGTCTGACAATCAATAATTTATTTATTTATTGCTATAACTATGACAGACTTTCTCTTGTATCGCTATAACCATGACAGACTTTCTCTTGTCTGACCATCAATTTTATTTATTTATTGCTACAACTATGCCATCTTGTCTGACAATCAATAATTTGTTTATTTATTGCTATAACTATGACAGACTTTCTCTTGTATCGCTATAACTATGTCAGACTTTTTCTTGTATCACTATAACTATGTCAGACTTTTTCTTGTATCGCTATTACCATGACAGACTTTCTCTTGTATCGCTATTACTATGACAGACTTTCTCTTGTATTGCTATAACTATGACAGACTTTCTCTTGTACCCCCACAACTATAATAGACTTTCTCTTGTAACCATGTTTCAGATCACCAAGGAGGAGTTCATCAACTACTACGTCGGTGTCAGCGCCTCAGTGGACAATGACGCTTACTTCGACCTCATGATGAGAAACGCTTGGAGAATTTGATAGAATCTGTGGCTAGTGTGTGTAAATATAACGCAAAAGTGTTGACTGAATTCTTTACAACCTGAAACTGAAAGATAATAAAAACAACCAGTTTGGAAGCAACAGAAAATACAACTAGAGACTTTATCTTCTGCTAACACAAAATATTAATCCATTCTATACGCATGTATGTGCATGTGTAAAGCAGAAGAATTGATTTGGATTAGCGCTTTCAGGTCACAAAGTTAACTTGCTGCACATTTAAATTGAAGATTTTTTTAATGAAGTGTGACAGCTTGCCCATGTTCTCTTCACAGCCAAACTATAACTTATAACTATCACTAAACCCTCCTTTGCCTATAAATCAAACTGGGAAGTCTCAAAATCAATTCTTGTACATGAGTGAAAGTTTGATGCGGGTTCCTACTCTAAAAGTTAAAAGCTGTGACTGGAATGGCTTAAACTTGAATTAAATAACCTTTAGTCAAGTTTTTTTAACACAGAAAATTAAAATATTACACAATTCTTATTTTTATAAATAAATGTTTTGAAAAAAATGTGGTTAATCTAACGGTGCTTTGTAGAGCAATGGTTGATCATGTATGGTGTACATGTATTTATTCATTTTTACATTTTTTTCTCATTTTGTTATTATTTAAATTTAAACTTGTTTCATATTATTGATTTAAAAAAAAATGTATCCTTTGTGCAGGAAGGGAGCCATTATCAGTTATATAGAACATAATATGTACAAATATACAGTATGTAGCCATGGTCTGTTACATCCCGTCATCCTGGTCATTCAAAGGTCACCACCACACCATGATGGACAAACTACAATATATTATTAAATAATGTGTAGCAAGGGGAACCTGAATCTTGTTGAAAAAGTTTCTATTTTGCTCAAACATTTGTGTACGTGCCTGAAACAGGGTCGACATGACGTGCAGTTTTAAACTTTTTTAGTTTGTTGCATTTCTACATAGAATTGCCTTTAATACTCTATTTTAAAAACATTTCCAGATGTCACAAATACTTTTTAAGATGTGGCCGGTTTTGTGTGTGAGTGTTGCACCGACTACGTTTATGAAAAACCTTAACGTTAAAGTTTCATTTCGCCATGTTATGTAATAAACATGTGCTTTGAAAAGCCTTCAAAAACATAGGCCTACTTATTAGAAAAATTGGCATACACAATATTTAGTGAGGATGGAATAAATGGTTGATCAGGTGATACCCTGACAAACCTATATTTTGACTAAAAAAACATTTTTCACTCTATTCCCCATTTTCTCAAATTAAGCCCATACAGCTACCAGACCCTTTTCTCAGTCACATACACACATACATTTGTAATGTAAATTAACATTCCATGAGAAAGAATTCTCCCATTATTCAATATCAACAAGCTCTCTTACAGTCTTGGCTACTACTACCCCCAACTTAGGCGACAGAGGGACATTTAGTGCAGGGAAGTTAATTTCCATATTTTACTTATAAAGTTAAAGAGCCATAAAGTCTGATCAATGAACATAGCCATTTTGTGACTGGGAAGGAAATGAGGAAGAGCAAATGAACAGGAAATCAATTAACTTCAACTTTCATACTTGATGCTAGTTATGTCTGAAAAATAAAATCTATAGCTAGCTGCATCATAAAGTTTCCAAAGCAAGGCTCCATTGATTTGTTGCTGTGGTTGAATTCCTGACTTGGTGAGTTAGGGGGGCTAACAGCTTGTTGCAACAGCTGGTTCCTTGATTGAGAGGGAGGGAGAAAACTTTACAGCAACCTACCCCCCCCAAAAAAAAAAGTTATTTCAGACTGCAAAAATTTGTAAAAATGTCAGAGAACAAATGTGTACAATAAATGCACATAAGCACCTCCCCCAAACAAAAGACAACTTTATAATAAATTATAAACATGGAAAAACACATAAGGCAACAGCAGTCGAGGAAAATGGAGATTTTGCAAATAAGATATGGAAAAGTGCTGACAACAATTTAATCGTCGCTGCTGAAAAAAAAGTGAGTAGGCTACTGTAACTCCACTTTTTTCGTTATCCAACATCACGAGGTGAGGCGAAAAAAACTTTTGGAGTTTGAGCTACTCATTTTTTTTTTTCAGAAGCAACTTGATGTGGTCTCAAGTTGGAAAAAAAGCAAAAACAACCCACTCAACAATTTTATCTTTGCATTTCAAAAACATTTTATTTCATGGTGTGAGCACAGACTCCAAAAGTCACTTTGGCTATCAATTCATAAATGATGAACATGGAGGAGGAGGATTTGGTATAACAGTATGGTACGACTCGTGAGTATACCCGAGAAGTAGGTATGACAGTATGACTCAAGCGTATATCTGGAGTGTAGGGAAGGTACACGTCTCATAACTACTGTGGGTTATGTCAAGAGTTTTCCCTAAACTTTTGGTAATGAACATTTTCTCTGAGTGTCACAGATATATTTACTTTCACACAATGTCCTGAATGAAAGTTAGAAACAAGACTAAGACATTCTTTTCACAATACATTTTGAAAACTACAACAAAACTTGAGATATTACTGTCACAATACCTTGTATGTCATCGTCACTGGCGTTCTTCAAGATTCTGTGATTCCAAATATTTTATAATAAAACAAAACGTTTTTTGTAGATATTTTGTATCTCACGCATTCTGTTCTTTGAGTTGTGTGTTTATATATCTTCACCATAAATATAATAGCATGATGTGGCGGACACTTTCAGTACAGTTTGACGTATATATATCATTGGCAGTGAGAGAGTTGAAAGTGACTCAAAAGTGTTTATTTTGGCCAAAATGCCAAAAACAGCGCTGGCTCTAGTCGCCGTTAGACAGGGCTAAATACAGCCATTCTAGGCTTATTTTAAAGATAAAGAATACTTCTAACTGCCAGAAAAGTTACAAAACTGCTTGGCAAGTGGGGAAAAAGATATCAAATGTTGAAACTTGGCTTAAATTCAAATCAAAATATCTCTGGCTCTACGAGTCGGATCTGCCAAAGGAAGACGCCATTTTGTAGATGATTTAAAAATCTTCAAAAACATGTATCAGAAGTAGTTGGTTATTACTATTTAATGAAACAAAAATCGCGATTTTCTGAAGTCATCAAATCACCGACGCAATCCGCCGCTCAGTTTTCTACGGGCGGCGAGGAGCTGATTTCGCCGCGAGCCGATCTCGTTCACTGAACTGCCTATTAAGAGTCTAACACCAAAGGATATATCTCATTCTGTCACTGAAATAAAAGTGCCATTAACAGTTTTATTACAATATATTATATATATAATTCTGTCACTGTACTGCAAGTATCATTAATAGTTTTATGACAATATAATATACATAATTCTGTCACTGATCTGGGAAAAACATAAACAGTTAATTAAGTGACAACATATTTTAATGTACACAAAAGAACAAATCAGCTATAAACAAAAGGGTTGACGCAAAAAAAGGAACTAAACAAACCAGTACTCAGTCTCAAAGTAAAGGTCAAAAGACGAACAGCCCACCCTGCATTTCTCCATAAAAAAGCAGTGAGTTCATTAAAAACAGCAACAGCCAAGTATGTGGTTTTTACGCCACCATTGACACAATTTAGTTCATTTAAGAGGCCGGCTTCCAACTCTGCCTGTCGGGGCCACCCAGGCTGATAGAGACAAAACATCCCAGCAGAAAGACCGAGATACTCCAAAAAAATTCTCCACATTCGAGAATTGAACTTGAGTCTCGTGCCGCGACAGCAAAGGGAATCACCACTATCCCACAGACACGTTGTCGATGTGCTTCTCTTTACACTTACACAAACAAAGCCTCTCTGTTTAGTACACCCCTGTGTTATTTTTCACATTTCAAATCTATCGATAAAACAAGTAGTAGTAGTAAGCAGACGTGGGAAATTCTCCCACCATTGTATCAACAGACATACACAGAAGCAACCTACAATACTGGCGTACCTTGCACCATTCAAGTGTCGTGTCATAGTCAACGAAATATTTCATACCAACATACACATTACAAATTACATCTAGACACAGTGCCATTAATCTATCAGAAGAGATCTTTACACGAGAACATATTTTTACATAATTTACAGAGAGGTAGATCCCGAGAGAGAGAGGGGGGGGGGGGGGGGGGGGGGGGGGGAATAACAATATAAACACAAATTTCATTCATTAACTTAGTGAAGGTACACATGTATTTCTTATTTTTGTGACAATCAGAATAAGACCAGAGAGAGAAACCTTGATTTATTGATAGGGTCTGTTCAAATTCTGGTCTCTCTGTGTGAAGTGAGTGTAAAAGGGATATGTCACATGTGTGTCCCATCCCCAGGGAAGGAAGAATAGACGGCAAAATTAGGAAAAAAACAACCCAACCTAAACTAATAATGAATTAAATGGCCAAATACTAACAAAAAGATATTATCATTGTTATTCATATTCCCTTACTGTTTCATCTTAGAATTGAAATATATAATTGTTCTTTCTTACTCACATTCTCACGGTGAATGATTGTCTGATGTGAATAATATCACTAACATGGCACCCGAAAAAGGGACACTGGATGAAAAAAAAATGAGATTGGACAGAAACTTGAACCATATCTTGCCAAAGGACAGCCAGTTGAACAGACAAGGAAGCTGTGCTGAAGTGAAAGCGAAACTGATCCTTCAGTTTTGACTCAACCCTAAGACCCTTATACCCAGTACCCACCGCAGAAATTTCAGTTATTTTTAGTAACAGTTTTAAGGCACTTGCATAAAGATTAGGTCAAATAAGTGCTGAATTTTCGAGATGTTAATAGATGTTCTGGGAGAGATAAAGATGATATATATTTGATGGGAACGAAGGAGCAAACCACACCAAAGCACCTGCCAACCAGCTATGTAGAAATTTCCCGCAAACGACCAAATGACTGTATTTAATAACATTTGAAGGTAGCTTCGTGTACCCTTGTAGACGAGCAAAAGCTACCAGTCATTTGATTTTGGCACAATTTGATCCATTCCAAATACAAGAAACCAATTTTAGACGCAGCATTGAAAAAAAAACTTGTGCAGTTGATTAGGAAAAAAGATATAAAACTTCGAGTTCACTCAGTCTTACTCACAGTAAATATATGTCCATGTACATACATCAGTGATATACCAATCATAATAACACTTTCCATCACATTTCATGAACAAACCGTCACCACACCAGGTCAACAAAAGGAAAAAAAAATTCCTATGGAAACAACTTATGGACTCACAACACAAAGAGACCACTGATTCTTTTTGATACAATAGGAGAAAAACACTTACAAACTTACATGAAAAGTAAGCATACTTTCACATGCTTTAAAAAAAAATATAGGTGTTTTACTCTCCTATTAACACAATTTAGATCATATAAGAAGCGGGTTTACGACCCTGCCTGTCAGAGCCAACCGGGGCTCAGAGGGATACACCATCCCAGCAGAAAGACCAAGACATTCAATAAAAACGTTCTCCCCATCATGGAATTGAACTTGGGTCTCCTGTGTGCAACAGCTAAGTGTGTAACCACTACACCACATATGCAATTGTCGTAATAGTCATGATACGTGAAGGCATGGGGAGGGGGGGGTGCGTGTAAACTTAACCAAGATATGAGCAACTCCTGAAGAAATATTTCAGTTTACAGCAGAAAAGGAAAGGTGTGAGTGTGACAGTAAGCAAGATTTATCTGTTCTCCTCATCAGCGTCAGTGTCTCCAACTATCTCATTGAAGTTGATGAAATGTATCCTCCCCACATCTCGCCTCAGGTTTTTGATGGAGTAGTTTGATCCTGTGGAGAGACAAGTACATTCTCGTTCACAAAATGTCAAGAAAGTAATTTTCATTTTAAGAAATGTACTGGTCAACACGCACTGATCATTTAGAAGAAGGCAGGAAAACAGATGACCCCCCCCCCCCCCCCCCAACCCATTAAAGAAGGAATTATCGAAAACTCCTTGGACATTCACAGCTACCACGACTGTGCATATGAAAAGTCTTGGGACAGGTTGGTTTATTTTCAATTTTCCAACTCCTGCTTTCTTTTCCTTACCATCTTCAACAGGAATAGCCCCCCTCAAATAAAAAATAAAAACAACAGAAAATAAAAAGAGAAAGAAACCCACTATGTAGCCAATATGGTTCAAGCTATGCCATCCCAAAAAACGCTCAATAAAACAAAACACCCCCCCCCCCCCCCCCCAAATCAAACAAACAAAAACAAACCCCAAAATAAAAAGGGGAAGTGTAATTATTTGTGAAAATAATACCTCTTGGCACAAAGAAATCGTCGTCAGTCTCCACGACCGTAGACACGTCATTGACAGTCAGACAAAACTTTCCATGCACGATGTGAAACACCTGCGGAAACAAACAGTTCTCGTTTATTCTCACCACCTCGACGCAACGACCTGAAACATTTTGTTTTTCAAGTTATTAGATTTAGTTTGGTAGAAATGCTAGTTTGCTAGTTAAAGTTACCTCTTTGTGTCCTCAATACAGAAGGGTTATGTTTCATAGGATGAAAATCCAATTACAGTAGAAATCGCTCAAGACGGCCACCCATTATTGAGGAGAATAGAGACTGTCCTAGACAGATGTAGGGGTCTTGGACAGTGTCATTATAATATTTTAAAAACACAAGGGGGGGGAGTGCCATTTGTACAGGTGATTGTATTGGGAGGGGTGAGTGGGAGGGAGAGCAGGCCTGCCTAGTCTACTTTTCCTGAATTAGGGACTCCTAGAGCCAAAAACAGGGACATTTGATCCAAAAGAGGGACAAGACAAAACGTAACTCTTCGGAGTCTTTTTGGCGGCTTTCTTGGACTTGTTTTCTTCTCTCACCACGGCCTCATTTTCACTCCCAGAATGTTCACTTAATTCACTGGTCTTGGACGCTTTCTTCTTTTCATTACCTTTATATCCACTGGCAGCGCGCTTCATTATGGATAACAATCCTTCTAAACGTCGAAAATAATCAAGAAATTAGCAGAAAAGCAACTATAATCTAGATCTAGATCTTAGGAAAGCTGGTTGTTGATGCGCCGCACGCGGTCCAAATCACAAAGATGCTGTGCTGTATGATGAAGTGAAAATAGAAAGTCAGATACAGAAACAATATTGATGCCGAATCGAAAAAGACAGGGACGAGGCCTCGAAATCGGTGAAAAAATGGGAAGTCCCGGGAAAACCGGGACAATTAGGCAGGCCTGAGAGAGCAAGAGGGAAGGAGGGAGAGAGACAGGCAGACAGACAGACAGAGAGAGAGAGAGAGACAGGCAGACAGACAGACAGAGAGAGATAGACAGAGAGTATTGATGCTACACAATGGACCATGGATAGAAGTCAGTAAAATGGTCAACCACTAAGATAGTGCACCTCAAGAACTGACGTTGGGAAAAGTGTGAGCTGATGAGCAGTTAGAATAAAAACCCGGTTGTTGTCAACATCTTTCAACAAGCTCTGTTCTCAGGACAAAGTAAAACAGCTCTCAGAATGTCCTTTCCTTTTCTACTCTTGACTTTCATCAACATCATCATTGCCTTTCTCACCCTGCACTCGGGTATAAGCCACAAAGAAACACTTTCCACCTTTCTCTATCCTGGGCTAGCCTCTTGATGTTATTCCATGTCTTCCCACTTTTCTGTAAATCAATTTCTGTAATTCTGACCTTGCCTTCTACTTAATTTAACCAAATATTATCACCCAATCCTCGACGCTTAATGGCAACAGAGGACAAAAAAGCAAGTAAAAGTATCACCTAATTTTTCAGCAGAATCAAACAAAACAAACTAAATAAGTTTATAACTGTAACAACAAAGGCAAACAACTACTGACCACTGTCTGCACCACTCTGGAGTATATTTTCTCCGCCAAAGGTCCCAACTGTAGCTCTCCGGTGAAAAAGTTTGCCTGCTGAAGCTGTAGGCCAAAGGCAATGGGTCCTGAGCCGGTCAAAGGAGCCAGATCGGAATCATACCACTCCCGCTGGTCCTTGCGGGCAACAAGATCTACAGAGAGACAAACAAAAGAAAATCAACAATACTTATTCAAAATCTTTGAATGCTTTTAGTAACAATTTTATAGCATTTGCAACAAGTAGGTCATACGAGTGCCAAATATTAGATTGTTCTATGTTTTTGTGAGATTTTTAAGGCACTTGCAACACAATAATATCATATGAGTGCTGAAGATTAGAGGTTTTACAAGCAAACAACAAACACAAAAAAGAAGAACAAATATGGACGATAGATGTTTGATAGGAAAGAAGGAACAAACCACACCGGAGTACCCACTAACCACCCACTGCGAACGCTAAAAGTAGTGTCCAGTTGCAGATTTCAGATTGACGAAGTATGTCAGATTCACATATTGTCTATTACTAGTTTTTAATGCTACAAATTATTTCTAAACCATGCTAGGGAAGCTATTACAATATTTTCCATCCACGGTTTGGCACTTTTTTTTCTGTTTACACATGGTTTTATCCCATGGCCTCAACTATTTTCATAAGAGCAAATTAGTGTGGGCAAAATCTGCCAAGAAACAAGGACCTAAAAGAGATTTTCTTGTCACCTGTTCCGGTTTCTGATGATTTTATTCATTAAAAAAATAATTTTTTTCAACCCTCATCATGCGGAAGCCGGGTTTATGTAGCCCGAAAAGCCTATTTCGGCACCTCGCGTACGTTCTGGTCCCGAGTCAGTGTAGCTCCTGGCTCAGCGCACGCGCATCCTCATACGTGTCATTCGGGTCCCGAGTCGGATCCCCATTCACGCAGGTCAAGTGTGTGTGCGTCAGTCTGCTTGAGTTTGTGTGCGTTTGTGGCCTTCTTCTAGAACCGCCTGCCTGGGTTCGTAATCGAGGCATACGTCTCATTCAAAAGATGCCAAGTTGGTAGCTCTAGATGTTTGTCCAATGAAATTATAGAAGAAATTGACCCACTTAGACATGAGGAGCTCGAAAGGATAGTCAGGAAACAAGACTTCCATTTTTCTATACAAAATATTTCAAATGAGCTTGATTTTGTATGAAATGATACTACCTGATAAAAAATAAGCTTGTTTGATAGTTTTGAATACCATTGTGCAGGTACAAAGAACAATTTGAGTGTAAAACATTAGGAAATTGACCTAAATTATCCCCTTTCGAACCTCAGGTCATTCATAACAACAAGAGCGTCCAGAAAGGTTATTTGAATGGGCGTAACTACTCGTAATGTCTTATCAGCTTGTGAGAAGGGGTTATTCACATGTTTGTAACACTTTATAAATAGAAAGCTATGAAGGATAGAGCGTTATTTTCATCATCGGTTAACACACTCCCGCGGTATTCATGGCGAAAACACACGTTTCCCGGCGCGCGCGCTGTACACCAACAGTACACACTGAGTGACCCCGGCGGCCTGCCCGGCACGTCCAACGTAATCAGTTGCTGATAAGATATGCATCTGGGCACAGACGCAGGATAAGAGTTAATGGTGTTTTTTACACCCTCATCGACATAATTTAGATCATTTATGAGGCTGGCTTCCAACTCTACCTGTCAGGGCCAACCCAGGCTAAGAGGGATACAACATCCCAGCAGATAAACCAAGATACTCAATCAAAATTTCTCCCCACGCGGGAATCGATCTCGGGTCTCCTGCATGCAATAGCAAAGCACCTAACCGCTACACCACAAACACCGTCAATTGGTAAGCCAGCATCCTGTGATAAATACCTACCCATCATCTTCTGCTCTTCAGTGTCCGGGTCCAGCACGGCGACCTCGGTGGTCAAGGTCACATCTTTGTCTGTCTTGTAGTGGCACGACAGACGTTTCTTTGGCCCATGGGCAGGAACACTTAGGGCCTTCACTGTGGATGGAAAAAATATTCTAAGTTTAGGTTTGGTATGAGTTTTACGGCACTTGCAACACAATGAGGTCATATTAAGCGCAGAAGATTAGAGGAGTTACAAGAGAGTAACATACACAATAAAGAAGTAGGAGAGGTCAGGACGATAGATGTTTGATAGGAAAGAAGGAGCAAACCGCACCAGAGCACCCGCCAACCACCCACAAAAAATTCTCTTCAAATCCAGAAATCTTTCTATGTGTTTCTTGCCAAACATGTACTTACTTCACTGTTAAAACTACATTTTAATCCAAGCCTTTTATGTTAGAAACCAGAGACACATGATAGACTTGAAAAACAAAATGAAATAACTTTCAACTGTGAAGTAAAAAAAAACACACGAAAAAACCCCCAACTAAATTCTCAACTTCTGACGCAGTTATCAGCCTCAGTTTTCACAAAGAAGACAAGCTATCAACCTGCTGTAAAAATGTAACTGCAGATGTTTTTACGCCCCCATCGACATTATTAAGACCATTTAGGAGGTGGGCTGCTTTGACCGTGCCTATCAGCAGAGCTGGTTGTAACGGAGTACAAGTACTCCGGTACTTGTACTTACATTACAATTTTCGGTACTTTTACTGTACTCCGGTACATTTTGGAAACCAGTACTTTTACTGTACTCCGATACTTTTCATAAAAGTACTTTTGAGTATTTTTAAAGTACATTTTGAGTACTTTTGAAGCTTAATGAAAGGGTATGTGCCGGCATTTCTGGTCATAATTTACGGAACAAACACCCGGGGGGGCACAGCCGATCAACCAAGAGTTAAAAGTTGAGATCAAAGAACGGCCCGTCGCGCCAAAGATCAGCCACTATCGTGAATGTGATCACAAGCGTTGTAAAACTCCATGAAACGGTACAGTGTTTGCTCCAGACAGGATCACACCAAGGTGTGAACTGACCGATGCGTTTCTTTTCCCCAAACATCGCACTCGCATCTGAGCTCACCACCTAAACTTACATCACTCGCTGGGTGGGTAAGGAACTCTTCCCTGACCATTGAAAGCAGTTTTTCTCTATTCCCGAATTTGCGAGACAGCCTGAACTTTAATTGGTGTTGCCACAACGTAATGGTGCGTAACAACAAAGTAAAGGCGGTTGTGTGTGTGTGTGTGTGTGTGTGTGTGTGTGTGTGGGGGGGGGGGGGGGGGGAGGATGACTCAATCAGAGATGGAAAGCTAAAATTGTTGGACAGGTGAAGGGGAGGAGCAACTGGATAAACGTAGATAAAGATCTCAAGACTCACGATAGGCTAATAAGTGTGTATATAAATTATTTATGGCATGCCTCATGCCACTGTGATTGGTCATCAAGGTTGACCACTCTTTGCTCGCCATATGTCATAAATCCACCCAGGGGTCACGTCAGTTCATGGGTCACTGTAGATTCTTCCTTGGCTTCGTCGGCTGAGATCCCATATTTTTCTTGCTCCCGAGTACTGGGATCTTAGGCGGAGACTACTGTAGTAGAGAATCTTTGTATTTTGGTTTGCCGTGGGCGTCGTGGACTATACAGTGTGACCAAAATCTATCTTACCACTGTAATCAATTGAAACTGAAACTGTGTTCTCAATGTGTATCTAACAATTTTTTAGGCTGCCTAAATTTCTTTAAAACCTTTTTTGGGTGGTTTTTGCGTAAGGCTACATTGATTCCTTGAGGATTTGTTCATGAAGAATTCAATGCACTTTTCCATTTCTATGCTGGCCATTTTCATTAATTTTATGTTTTCTTAAGAGCAGCTTAGTATCTACATTTTCTAATTTGGATACTTTTTCTGTAGAACTTTCCGACCTCTTGGACTGACTTACATTTGATCACATTGTCTTGCTCAAACAAGTTCTATTCATAATATATATCACTTACCCACTAGTTGCGTCTATTTGTTTTGGGGGTTTTTCAATTTCACGAACCATTTCCACCTTCGTTCAGTGTGTACATTGTATATTCAAATGCTTTGTATACTGTTTACATGTTTAGTAATAAATAGCCTAATTGGTCAAATATACTGGATATGTTATTTAATATGATGTTTTGCATAAGCGCTGATGAGTTTTAGCATATTAGCAGAAAGTACTCAAAATGTACTCATAAGTACTTTTTTAAAAAGTACTTGTACTCAAGTACATTTTACAAGAAAGTACTTTTACTGTACTTAAGTACATTTTTTAGATTGTACTTAAAATTTGCACTTAAGTACTTTTTAAAAAGTACTTTAACAGCTCTGCCTATCAGGGCCAAACCAAGCTGAGAGGGATACAGCGTCCCAGCAGACAAACAGAGAAACTCCAAACACCCCCCCAAAAAACCCCAACAACAACCCCTCGCCACTCAGGAATCAAACCCATGTCTTCTGTAAGTGATGACGAAGCTCCAAGGCTACACCACAGAAGGTGGAGAAGATGAGTTATCAAGCCGAATTTCCACCAAGAAGACAAAACCACCACTTACTTTTTCGCTGTTTGATCTGCTTCCTACGCTTGTCTTCTCTGGCTCTCTCCTTCGCTTCCACCACGGAGGGCTGGATGCCGGCCACCATCATTCCAAATCCTGTTGAGCAGAGAACATGTGTAGAAAAAAAATCAATAAAGATAATAAAATAAACAATACTACTTTTCTTGATAACTTGAGGACAAAAAAAACTAACTAAATAATTAATAAAGATAATAAATAAATAAATACCACATATTTATCCGCGTGAGAAATTTGGATACTTGCACACAATATTTCTTCCTCTAAGCTACATAACCCACAATATCCAACCTACATCGTCATTTTACAAACACGCAATTGGTGGACGCCGCTGTACAGCCGCCTGTTCCTGTGCAAGGATTATTGTGTCTTGCTCGAGGACGCACCCCTGTGAATTCCCTTAACAAGAGCTCTATTAAATATAACATAAACGCAGGCCTCAGGCCTGCCAACTTTAACAAAACCCCAGTTAGTGACCCCTAACATTATAACATCAGACAGCGCAACAAAAAAACGAATTTACATCCTATGGGACTAGTTTTGGCTAAGTGTATACAATGTCCTCTCAAATTTTTGATTGCCAAATCCGGAACAGTCCCCGGAAATTCAGGACAGTTGGCAAGCCTGCAAACATTTCTCAAACACTTCCCTACGACTAATAACACTGGATTTACCTGTACTGTCTCGCCTGTAGATTATTCCCTCCCCCTTGTGAGCGCTGAGGCGCCTCACTCTCGTTCTATGAGACCGACGAAGTCCGTCATCATTTTCGCTGCCAGGTCGAACTGAAAAGAAGATTTGAAAAAAAAAAAAAAAAAAAAAAAGAAAATTATTTCCTGGCTCTGATTATGAAATGTGAACACTTTTGAGTAAATTTTGTGTATTTAAAGAGCAGCACATTGACACAATAACAGCCATTTAGCCTTGACAAAGAGCAAGACAGGCGGATAGAAATAACAGAAAGAAAATAAAAGGAGCAGGATGAACCAGAGGCATCCTTCAACCACAAGAGAAATGAGAGAAAAAAAAAAGTTAAGGAAGTAGTATCAACCAGGGGCATCCTCCAATCACAAGAAAAATGAAAGAAAGAAAAGAAAGACAGAAAAAAAAGAAAAGATCTTGTATTTGTCTGTTTTAGTAGAAGTTTTACGGCGCTCGCAACAGCATAAGGTAATATGAGCGCCAGAAGATTAGAGGTGTTACAAGAGAGTAACGAACACTAAAAAGAAGAAGGGGAGATAAGGACAATAGATGTTTCATAGGAAAGAAGAAGCAAACCACACCAGAGCACCCGCCAACCACCCACAGATCTTGTATCATGTCTTCATTTCATCATCACAGTAAAAAAGTATTGGTTGCCATTAGAGTCGTGGTTTTTTTGGTTCATGTTTATTTAGATAATAAGGAACACAAATCATTATTTGGAGCTTCTACACATTTGTTTGAAAGTGAAAAAAGAAAAAACAAAACTACTATGCTTTCAGCGGTGCCAGTGTGGGAACAGGTGCTCATTGTCTCAGTGAGTAAAGAAGTGACACCAAGAACCTTCAGGATAACTCTCTCCCAACCCCTGTGTATGTGAGCATTCTCTCAGTACCCACAGTGATACTATGGCAGTATCCAAAATCAAAATAAATTTTTTTTTTAAATGTAGGTGATTTTATGTCCCCATCAACACTCTGCCTGTCAAGGCCAACTTGGGCTGAGAGGGATACAATGTCCCAGGAGAAAGACTGAGAAACTCAATAAAAATTCTCCCCTTCCAGGAATGGAACTTAGATCTTTGCACTATGACAAAGTGTCTAACCACTACACCACAGATGCTGGTACAGCAGGGTATGGGTTTAAACATTTGACACAAGCTAAAAAAGCAACAAAACAAGTAAATGTAAAAAGGAACCGACCAAATTAAATATGAGGCGTGCGGACAAAATGAATTACTCCTTGTAATTAACAAATAGTGATAATGGCCAGAAATCGAATTCTGGCTGTTCAGGTAAATCTATGACATAAATTCTGGCTGATAAGAGCTAAAGAACCTTGGCTGTGATGAGTTATTGGTCCTGAGTCCTGATTTTGGTGCTGATATTTGTAAGTTATGTAAAATCGTGCCAACATGGTACAAATTGTAATGCTTCAAGAAAAACAGGAGTTTTTTGGTCTGTGATGGTGATGACGACGATGATGATGACGACAAAGAGTTAAGTCTTACTGATTTTGTTCGAGAGGTCTGGTACAAGGAAGTCTTTCGGGCTGGGGTAGTGGTGGGTGGTCTCGGCGTAGTGGACCGGGGAGGACGTTGGTGAGGGCAACATCGTGGAGCTCCGTCCATCGGAAGAAAGCTCGCCTGGAGAACAGAACATGAGGAATGTCATGAAAAATTACATATAGTTGAGATTGTTACGATGGTCATTCATTGTTGAGGGGTAAAGAAGTTGTCTTAGATAGGTGGAAATTTTACAGTGTCATTAGTCGTTATAATGTATCCCCCCTCAAAAAAACAAACAAAACAAAAAAACCCAAAAAACACAAGAATAAGAAGCCGATCTGAGGAAGAGGGAGGGGTGGGGGGGTGGGGAGGGAGGGAGGAAGAGAGAGAGAGAGAGAGAGAGAGAGAGAGAGAGAGAGAGAGAGAAGAGAGAGACAGGAGAGAGAGAGAGAGAGATAGAGAGAGAAGAGAGAAGAAAGAGAGAGAGGGAGAAAGAGAGAGAGGGAGAAAGAGAGAGAGAAAGAATGAATACCTTCATTGCTTTCATTCTGGGAGACCTCCAGTCGGTCGATGATGTTGCTGATGCGCACTTTCCTCCCCTTCAGCGATCTCTTGTGTGGGTTGTTCCCACGCAGACACGAGGCAGGGGCCTGGGGGGTGGCGTCCACTGCCGGAATAGCCATCTTTGTGTTCCTGGCCAGGGGGCCTGGAGTCTCCACTGGAAAAGTACAAGGCGTAGATGACAACTTTACAAGACCAAAACACAGATTCCTCCCTTAAGGTGGGTCAAGATGGTGGGCATTGGCCAGTTGACCCCCCCCCCCCCCCCTCCTCTTCCTTCAAACCCTCAACACACTTTTCTACATTCAGTAAATTCAAGCAATTCAAAGTGGAACTGCGGTAAAAGTAAAAGACCTCTCCAATTGACTCAAGAGCTTCGTTCTCAATATAATTCTCAAGTCTGTTCTTGAAAGGTCATAATTGTCCTTCAGCATCTGCATGTTCTTTACTTACTGGTTGGAAGTTATGGTTTAATGTCAGCCAAAAATTACAGACACATTCAGTGTTGGCCGAGCCTGAGGAGTCAAGGACTCCAGTATTACCTGGGCCACAGGGAAGTGAGGGATAATTATAATAGCCTGGTGCTGTAGAGGCGCATTCAGATAAAAAATCCGCATCCATCCATCCATTTAACAAATGGTAGCCGACTGGGATCATCAAATTCATTCCACATTGTGTTTGTTGTGTGCCTTCTTTGTTTCAGCACATTGAGGTCGCACAGCAGGTCTATTTTTGTAATTTCTCAAAATTTAACCACGAATTTGAATATGATATCAGATTTAACCATTTCAACAACAACAACAAAATGTGTTACACAATAAGGTCATGTGAGTGCTGAAGATTAGAGGTGTTACAAGAGAGTAACAAACATAAAAAAAGGAAGAGAGAAAAGGACGATAGATGTTTGACAGGAAAGAAGGAGCAAGCCACACCAGAGCAGCCACCAACCACCCGTATTATAAACTCACCTCGAGGACTCGGACTTTCCGGGGAGGAATCCAGATCCGGCGAGGACAACTGCGGGGAAAATCTGCGCGACAGCCGGAAAGACGGACCGCTCTGTGGGGTCACCGAGGGCAATGACAGCAACAAGTTCACTCGCTGCGGCGTCGCTGAAGCTGGAACTAAACATTTCAATTGAATCTTATCCTTGGTTCTTTTTGTTTTAGTAAGTGTTTGTTTGTTTTAGTAAGAGTCTTACAGTGATCGCAACTGCATAAGGTCATATGAGCACCCGTTTAGTAAGTGTTTTACGGCACTTGCAACACAATCAATAAGGCCATATAAGTGCCGAAGATTAGAGGTGTTACAAGAGAGTAACAAACACAAAAAAGAAGGAGGGGGAGATCATGACTATAGATGTTTGAAAGCAAAGAAGAAGTAAACCACACCAGAGCACCCACCAACCACCCACAACCTGGGTTCACTAAACATTGTTTGAGTTTGAGTAAAGAGAACAAGCACATTGACATTTTCACTGAACTACCTACGTTGACTCACTGAGTCAATAGAACCCTCTCAGTCCAAGGAAAAATACAACATGGACAGAAACAACAGAAGGGAAGAAAAGAGGTAGGATCTATTAGTCTATTAGTGGCGCCCTCTAGCCTCCTGCACTGCACGCCAGGTGCAGAAGAAGAAAACAAAAACTGATACGAATAAAAAAACCCAAATACACAAGTCTGTAAACCGATTTAAACAATATTATAACAAATTATGATCTTACACGTTTTAGTAGATGAACATAGACACTGCTGAAAACAGAGACAGGTGTACACCAACGACTGATTAAAACAGTGATTTTAGTATTAGAAAAAGTTTTACAGCATTCGCAACACAAATAGGTCAGATAAGCGTCAAACACTAGAGGTGTTACTAGAGCACGCAAAGAAAAGAAGGAAGAGAGATTAGGATGATTAATATTTTATAGGAAAGAAGGAGCAAACCACACCAGAGAACCTGCCAACCACCCACTGACTGTGTCTGAAACAGAAAAAGCTGAGGGAAGAAAAAATCTGTGAGAAACCTCACCATGTTTCTGTGAATGTCGAGGTTTCCGAGACAAACTCTTTCTGGGCTGGTCTGTAACTTCTTTCTCTTTCTTCCCTCTTTTTGACGTTGAAAGTCTCTTCGACTTCTCGGGTTTGGTTTCGGACACTCCCAGCAGGCGCTCTGCTTCCCCTTCGGTCGACTCAGCGCCTTCGCCTGCGAGGTCCTGAGCATTTTCCTCCTCCACTTCCTTCTCTTTGTCTCCATCATCAGAAGCAGAAACACTGTCCTCCAAAACTGCAGCAAGGGATCTTCTGGGACCAGAGGTTCCCACTTGTCTCTCCAACTCTTTTTTTGTACAAGATTTGCTTCTGCTGCAACTACTCTCCAATTCCTTTGTCGAAGACGATTTTGTTTTGGCGCTACGACCTCCCAACTCCTTTGTCGAAGGTTTTGCTTTAGTGCGACTACCCTCTACTTCTTTTGTTGTAGAAGATTTGGTTCTCGTGCGGGAACCTGTCGTTGGATTTCCTGGTACTTTTTCTTCATCTTGCACCTCAGCTGGGGGGTCACAAGACTTGGTGTCTGACTGTGGAGGTTTGACCGGGGATTTCTCGTCCTCTGCTAAACTGACTTCAGCTTCCTCACACACCTCCGAAATTTCGCCTGCGACATTTGTTTGAAGACACTCTTGCTCTTCAGGACCTGCAGAAGTGTTGGCGTCCACATTCCTCTTTCGTTTTCTCAGCTGCTTATTCAAAGGGGCAGCTTGTCTTCGTTTTGACTGCCTAACCTTTTTGCTTTTAGAAACTGCTCTTGTTAACTTGGGCTGACTTTGAACCCTTTTCCTCTTGATAGAATTTTCTTTTTCCAACCCAGAGCCCTTTTTGAAACCACCAAGAATAATTTCATCATCTGTCTCTTCCTCCTTTGATGGTCCAGAAGTTTTAGAAAATGGATATTCTTTGGATGCTGCTTTTTTTCTCACTCTCCCTCTAGAACTGATGTCTTTTGACGTGACCGTCCGCGAGAGAGTCAACATCTTAGACGACGATAACGTGACCTCAGATACTTCACGACTGTCTTTCTCTCGCTTTGAAGCAGCACGAGTAGAAGGCACATTTTCTTCAGCTTCTTGTTTCCTTTTTCTGCTTGATCTTTTAGTTGCCTTTTTTCTCGTGTCCAGATCAGCAGGAAGTTCCGCAGATTCATCACTGCTTTCTGAGGATTTCCTGTCAGTCTGTGACGGCTTGGTTTGTGACGGTTTCTTATCTTTCAGTTTTGCTCTCCCGCCAGACCTTTTGGGTGATATGTCCGTGTTTGGCTCGGACCGCACACTTTCGGAGTCCTGGCCGGCACTGATTACCACCATATCTTTCTCTTTCTGTCCATCATTCTTGGCAGCACTTCTAGTTTGAACAGCCTTTCCTTTTCCTTTCCTCTTGCCCTTGGCAGATTCCTCGTCTGCTGCCAGGGTTGCGATTTTCTCTGCGCTGTAGCCCAAAGCCAAAAGATCTGTCTTGCTCAACTTTGGAGGAGATGGTGAAGACGCCCCTTGATCCAGCGTATTTGACGAGGATTTACGTTTCCTCGTCTCTTTCGTCTTTGACCTTTCTGTAGCGTCATTTCTTTCTTCTTCATCACCAGCCTCGACAATGACAAAGTTGTCTTGACCTCCCACGTCAACAAAGGTGAAACTCTCGAAGGTAGACAGGAGAGTTTTGTCTTGCTGGCTCTGGGACAGATTGGCCCTGGTCCTGTTGGGGTTGGAAGGACAAAAGTTAAAGAATTCTGGAATATACAGGATGTATCTCAAGTCTTAAAGTAAAAAATAAAATGGTGCTTTACCCCCCCCCCCCCCCCCCTTCCTCAATTGACACAATTTACCCCATTTATGAGGCGGGCTTCTGACCCTGCCGGTCAGGGCTAACCCGGGCTGAGAGGGATACAACATCCCAGCAGAAAGACCAAGATACTCAATAAAACTCTCTTTACACGGCAATTGAACTCAGGTCTCCTGCGTGCGACAGCTAAGCGCCTGACCACTACACGAAAGAGGCCTGTACAAATGTGATAGACTAGATGAATGCATAGGTTGTCCCTAAAGTCTGGAAACAAAGGAAATCTCAGTAACTATAACTGACTGCAGCGTGGAGTCATTCCTTTATGTCCAAAGAAAAATTTTACAGGAGAGGGGGGAAAAAAACCAAGCTAGTTAATTCTCTTGACAATTATACCTATATTATGAATTTTTTTCTGAGTCTTTCGACAATTAGAATATAGATTTTAACAAAATATTTCTTGAGCACATGCAACCGATACCACATATAAAGAAACAGAAAATTAAAATGTCAAAATGTTTATTTGAGTACATCCGATCAGCTGGCCCCAGACTTGTTTCATGTGAGAAGACAGTAACACAGAGGCTCATTGAGGAAACTGGATCAGGAAGACAGACAGATAGAAAAAATCATTTTATGAATTTAATTCAATGAGGACAAAAATATTTTTATTCGTGCTAATTAAATATTGTTCCTTTAGTGGAAAACTGATTGTACTAGAACAAATAAAAACTGAGAACATTCTAAATACTTACCTGACTGGGATGGCAGATTTCTTTTTCTCTATGTCATTCTGTGATCTGTCTGTCTTGTTTTTACTGGCGTCTGCTATAGCGACAGAGTATGACAGCCTGAGAAAGACATCCATATTGTGGTCAAACATCAATGCCATACATAAAAAAATAAATATAAATATGAGTCATCGTGGTGAAATCCAGCGCTTGTCAAAATAATGAATTTATAAAAAGACCAGGCATTTTTCTGGCCAGTGGACATTTTTTCTTCGAATTTCCTTTTTTAGGCTCAACATCTTTTATACCTATTTAACAACACATTTCTGTGAGGATTTTACTGAACACTTTGCCATCACAAGGCTCATATAGTAATAATAATAATAATAATAAATAGCATTTGTATAGCGCATAACCCCACTCGACAGCAAGCTCTATGCCCTTTACACTATATTATTATAGTAAAAACCCTCGCCATCAAAGGCAAAGACATTTTGGGGAAAATCGAAAGAAACTGGGTGGTTAAAGACGTCGATCAAAAGTTTAAAAAATTTTAATTTGCAATTTCCAAGGACACTTGAGCTTTGAAAATCACTAAACTTTGGTGGCCATTTTCTTGCTACCTTTCACCTCTGAAACCAGGCAACCTGCACCTCCTTCAGCACTAAATAAAATATCAGGACTTCTATTCAAGATATTGTTTTAGTAGAGGTTTTACGGCGCTCGCAACTGCATAAGGTCATATGAGCACCAGAAGATTAGAGGTGTTACAAGAGAGTAACAAACATAAAAAAGAAAAAGAGATAAAGACGATAGATGTTTGATAGGAAAGAAGAAGCAAACCACACCAGAGCACCCGCCAACCACCCACTATTCCGGTTATTATTTTTCATTGAAAGCAAGACAAACGAACAAGCTTTAAGATGTCTGGTATTTGATGATGATGTTGATGATGATAGCATTGCTAAGTTGAGCCATTTTAATAAATATTTTAAAATTTTGTTACCTATACTTCCTGACTCAAAATCAATCAAGATTTCTACTCTGCTTTTTCAACAATGATGATGATGATGATAATGCTGATGATGATACTTCCAGCATACCTCTTTTTAATCCCAAAGAAGTGACTGGCAGAAGCCTTTTCGGCATTGGTGACAGAGCCGGTCACATCACCGCCAAAGTTGAGCGTGGCTGTTGTGGTCGTGTCCTTAGACTTGTCCAAAAGACTCCTGCCTGGACGAGACAAAAGACTCCCACCCAGACCTGAGATCTCCTGCAGAGGAGAGAAAGCAGAAAGGAACAAAACTTACTAGTTTAGTTTCAGTAAGAGTTTTACGGCACTTGCAACAGAATAAGGTCATATAAATGCCGAAGGTGTAACAAGGAAGTAACAAACACAAAAAAAAGGAGGGGAGACAGAGACGATAGACTTTTTATAGGGCAGAAGGAGTAAACCACACCAGAGCACCTGCCATCCACCCACACTTACTAGTTTATGTTTGAGGTCAGAGAAGCATGTCAACACGATAATGGTCATTTACATAATAGCGGATAGCTGCCAACTTTTCAAAACCACAAAACCGACTCTACCTGTGCGGCAGGCCAAGATGGCGTGCATTGGCCAAGTGGCCCAAATTCCAAACCCTCCACAAACACACTTTTCTGCAATCAATAAATTCAAGTTATTCAAAGCAGCAAACGAAGTGATACATGTTTAATAAAGATCTCCAGTTATGTATTGACACAAACCCTATTGACTTATAATGGGCTTCATTATTATTAGCAAATTCGGTATTGAAAGACCAGTGGTGAATCTGTGAAGAGCAATGCTATAAAACAAAGAAAAAGCATTGCAAAAACACACAATTCTGTACTCAGATCCTCAAAAACATATTAAACATAACTTGTATGTACTGGCTGACAGCAATGAGTGTATAAATGTATGAGTTTGATGCCCAAATCAACACTATTAATTTATCTAAGAGGTGGGACTTCTGAATTTAACACCCGTCTCTGACAGGACCAAGCCAAATGGGTTGAGAGTTTTGAAAACTCCACAAACGATCCGAGTACAAGAATGCCCCGTCTGAGATGTCATTTAAAATTAAGTCACACAAATGTTGCAAATAAAACTGTGTACTGTCAGTTCGTTTACAAATAGTCCTGTACAACTGATGAAAATAGAATTCAATCTTTAAAAAGAATTGATTTTATGCCAATCCAATCAGGATTTCAAAAAAATTGCCACTAATAAACAACCCCTCACAAACACACAAAATAATAAATACACAAAAACAGACAAACAAAATCTCTCAGACTTGTTTACCTGTGACACAGCTGTGCTTCCATCTTCCCTACTGGACATCTGATCTTTTCCACTTCCATCTGTCTTTCTGCCACTTTGGGAGGCTGACTGCACAGACTTTTCTCGCTTCATCACCACCTCAGACTCCCCTACAGCAGAAGGCTTAGACTTCAGAGAGACGTTCACCTTTGAACTTGTATTCAAACCCCGTACCTTGGAAGCACCTCTTGATGACTTTGTCTTCCCACCATTCTCGGTCAATCCTTCAGATTCTTCCCCGCCTGAAGACGGCGGCCTTTTAAACAATGTCGAAGAATCACCGGATGTACTTCCATCCTTCGACTCTGGTGGTTCTGTTTCTGCGCTTGCTGTTGCCCCGTGCTCTGTGTCGTCGTCTCGGTCAGAATTATTTCCAGTCCTCTTCTGAGGACTGGGTTTGATGCGACTAAGATGGAGAATTGTCTCAACATTGTCACCAGCAGCGATTATTTTCACTTTCTTTAAGCTCTTTCTTACACCCTCGTTTTGGGATTTATTCAAATTTTTACTCAGCTCGGCTACAGCCTGTTCCAAAGGAGGATCTGCACCGCATGCAGAACTGTCTCGGCCACTTGACTCTTTCAGTTGTTTGAGGGAAACATTCGCCGATTTACTCAGCTTCTCCGAGCTGTCACTGGAACTACCTGTCTTTCTTTCCTCACTGGGACTTTTTTCTTGAAGCTTTTTCAAACCTTTTCTCAAAGTCCCCTTTCGAGATAAATTCAAATCCTCCGTCTGCTCAGTTCCAAGGTGCTCACTGTGGGGCCTTTTGTCGAGTTCTGTTCTCTTCTGACCAACATCATTTGTGATTTTTGACTGTTTCCTGGAGCTGTCGAGTTTTCCACCATGACCTCCACCCTGATTTGGATCTTGATCAACGTGGGGACTATTTTTCCCCCCTTGATCATCATGGGAGACGGGCGACACTTGATTCTTTCGCCTTGATCTTTTTCTGTCCACATGACTTCCTTGATCTGTATCTCCTTGACTATCAGTGGCACTACTTTTTCCTTCCTCGTCGTCATGAGATACAGACAATGCTTGATTCTTTCGCCTTGATCTTCTTCTGTCCACATGACTTCCTTGATCTGTATCTTCTTGACTATCAGTGGCACTACTTTTTCCTTCCTCGTCGTCATGAGATACAGACAATGCTTGATTCTTTCGCACTGATCTTCGCCGGTCCACATGACTACCTTGATCTTTATCCTCCTGACTATCGGCTGGACTACTTTTTCCTTCCTCGTCGTCATGAGATGCAGGTAATGCATGATTCTTTCGCATTGATTTTCGTCTTCCTGTCGTCGCTTTAACTTCCTTTCTTGTTTCAGTGTCAGAGCCACTGGACGCTAACTCTCCACTGCCCGAGTCTAAGACTTTTTTCTTTGCGCTGGATGTTTTTCCAGAGTTGCTGCTCGCCCTTTCTTCCATTCGTCTGTGTACTTTGCTTGAGAGACTATCAGAATGATGGACAGAACCAGAATTGTGCAGGGTAGACGCGTTTGGTTGATTTGTTTCTCCAGGTGAGCCAGAGCGCTGGGGAGTTACGACACATAGAGAAATATAAACTCAGTCAAAGTTGTCTGAGATGGTCACACACTGTCGAGGAGAAAAGTGGCCGTTTTAAACAAGTGGTTGTCTTACAGTGTCACTACAATGTAAAAAAACCCAAAAAACATTTAATTGGGAAAATGGAGGTAAATGGGAGTCTGTACAGGTAATTGCCTTATACAGGTGGCCATGTGGCCATGGTTGAATGTATTTTGAACTGTGTTGTCCTTGAAAGCCAAAGTATATTTTTGTATTAAATGACACCCCCCCCCCCCCCCCCCAACATTTCAAGACTATCTAATAGCATACATTTAAAAAATAAAAACGGTGTATAGAAATGTAACAAAAATTTACTTCTTTTCACAACAACTAAGGTAGTTTCGATTTTTAGTAAGAGTTTTACAGCACTTGCAACACAAATAGGTCACACAAGTGCCGAAGATTAGGGGTGTTACTGGAGAGTAATATACGAAGAAAAGAAGGAGAGATAAGGACGATAGATGTTTCATAGGAAAAAAGAAGCTGAAACAACAGAGCCCCCAACAACCACCCACACACACAGCAGTCATAAAACAAAACAAAGCAAATACAAAGAGCATCAAACAAACCGAATCTTCAAAAAAAAAATCTGGCACAGAAAGAGCTTTGGGATCATTACAAAAGGCCGTAGAAAAAAGTTAATATGCTGTTGTGTAGAAAGCGATGATCTCTTAGATCCCACACTAGACTTACCAAAGAATTCTTGATAGACGACGTCTCGGGCGTAAGTTGTGGGGACATGGTGGACTCTGGTTGGAAACAAATGAGAGGAAACAAACTGCTGATATCTAATAGTTGGGGAGTTCATACAGATTCAATTTAATCAGCTGGTTCGTCTCTCATTTCTCTGCTCAGATGCTCATAAAAAACCTGTGCTATCCTGGTCTGTACCTGTCACCCATCTGCTTAAGTTTTTTAAAACAAATTTTTCACAAAACTTAAAAATAAATTTTTGAATATAATATTCCTCTTTTATTGATACCTGTGGGGACATTTTAAATTACAATGGCTTAACATATGATGATATACCATACCTACATAAAGACAGTACATAAATACATGTATACATATTCAAACATACAGAAATACTACAAACATGCCACTGCTGGTTGCCAATGTGCAGCACCCTGTTTTTTGAAAAAGGTTTATCGTGTTTTGCTCAGACACACCCCAGTGACCACCGAACTAAATACCAAAAATACATCAAAGTTAATAGCTCATTGTATCTAGAATCTATAGGAGAAATTAATCTGAGCATGATTAACTTTTCTACTGCTGTGAAGTAACATTGCTGTTGTGAGGTAACATTGCTGCTACAATGTTTGGTTTCAACATACCATTATCTGATTGAAGTTGGCTGAAGTTTTCCACCCTACTGACGTTTTTGCCGGCCAGAAGATCTCGGCCTGTTCTCCTGCACACACCGAAGGAAAGAAAGAAAACAAGAAATAAACACAACATATTTTTCTTTTCGACAATTAATTTTTTAACGGCACCAACTATACACATTCATACTGCAAAGAAAAACTCTGTTCATGCTAAAGGAAACAAACAAATTTTTAAAAAAATAGGAACAAATTTCTAAAAGAGCCTGTTTTCCAGCAAAGGTCAGTGTTTTTCTCAAGGGCACATCCAATTTGATGCCACTAACATTGCTTGGCATTCTTGAGAAAAGGAAATGAAACAAACTATGAAGGGATAATGGAAAAAAACAACAACCCAGACAAAATTTATAAATAGGTAAGAAAAAAAAACAACCAAACAAAATATCACGTTCAAGTATTTGTTACTCGTGAGTGGCACCTAGCTCAAATAGCATTGTCATCGATTGAAACAGAGCTGCTTGAGCAGCATCGCACCATCAGTGCTTCATCGCAGTGTTTTCAGCAGTCTTCATCTCCTGTCTTTGAGAGAAATTCTGCAGAGCAAGCCTGCCGCTTTCATAGCGGGACCCCCCCCCCCTCTTTTTTTGACATTTACGTCAGTGTGTCGAGTGCCTTTCTGCGGCAGTGCAGTGTAGAAGATGGGGTTGGGGTGGTGGGATGAGTGGAAACAGAGCAGCTAGTAGCATCCTTTGGCTTGAACAGAGAGCACTCAAGTAGTAGCAAGCTTGGCATCGAGCACTCACGAGTTGTAAAATAAAGATAATGAGTACCGTACAGCACTACTGAACAACTGCTCTACTACCCACGTCATGCTGGCAATAAGAGACCCAGAGGCCTCTAATCTATAGTTCCCAACTGACCTTCCAACTCTAGGATTCCAGTCGAAAGGATTCACTGGCACCTCCATAGCTGGGCTCTGGAAAACACAGGAGAAAAAGGGTTGCTTTTTTTCTGCTGAAAAGCTAAAGATTATTTTTTAACATGATTGCAATATAACAGGGCTTTGGGGAAGACAGATATTTACATCAGGTCAGGGAAGAAGAACGACCTTTCAGTAGCCCTCCTCAACTAAGTTTGTTAAAACATACACTAATAAAATATGATCACTGGCATCTTGATGCGGGTAAGCGTAAAGTAACCCCCCCCCCCCCCCCCCGCAATGTGCTTCTCTTTACTCAAACGCTAAAACATGCATCAAAGTATTCAAAGGCTTGCAAACTTTTGGAAAACCAAGCCAGGAATACCCAGTGTCATGACATATCAGATTACGCAACTATACACAAAACTTCTCTCAAATTCCCAGAGGAAATTCGGGACAGTTGGCAAGCCCGCACCAAAACAAACCTTGGACGGTGCCCCTTCACTTTTTCTTGCCGTTGTCGGCTGCTTAACATTTTTGACCGCACCGCCTCGCTTGGTAGTTCCAGTTTGAGCTGGCGCCAAGACAACATCCTTGACATTTTTGTGCGGCGACACTTTGGTGTTCTCCACTGAGGTCAGGGGCACTTGTTGGGTCACGTCAAGAGTCTGGTCCGCCTCTGGGATTCCAGAAGTTTTTTTTTTAAAGTTGTGGGTACAGTTCATTAAAAAAGTTATCATAAGTATTAGAGATGTAAACATTGCAATGACAAAGGATATTAAAATACTTATTTTGATAATACCACCTTGGCATAATAAAAAGAAAATACTCGCAAACTTGAAAATTACAAAAGAAAATAGCAAACTTAGATTTTTTTTTTTTTAAGGAAAAGAAACCCCACCCCTCTAAATTTCAAAAAAAAATTTCAACTTTAACATCACACTATATTCTTTGCTTGAAATTTTTTTAATGACAAAAAGAAACAGACTTGACAGAACACTAAAAGAGAGCTTTAATATAACTGATGGGAAAAGATTTCAGTATAACTTTTAAGTGTCTACATTTGAAACATTCTGTGTTAACAGAACTTGCTCCCACACAAAATTATATAACCCAATCCACACTGAGAGAGAGAGAAAGAGAGAGAGAGATAGAGAGAGAGAGAGAGAGAGAGAGAGAGAGAGAGCGAGCGAAAGAGGTCAGCAGGAGATATTCTCTTAAATGCAGCACCGTTTCATTACTAGGACAAAAAAAGCAATTATTAACATTTGAGAACAGAAACTCAGCATGTTACACACATTCACAGCAAACTGATGATACGCTGGAGTTAAATAAGGCTCTACAAACACTATTATTAACAAAATAATAAAATTCTATATTATTACCAGAGTCTGTGAAGTAATCATCTATGTTGTCCATGCCATTTTTCACATTTTTGACTTTGTGAATTGAAATACCCGTTCTCCTGGGAAATATGCAAAAGACATTTCACAAGTTGCAGAAGGAGGAACTTTTACTAACACTAAGATTTAACATGTCGTGTTGCATTCTGAAGCTTCAAAAAAGGAGTTTAATAGTTAAAAAGAATAGAGGACCAGCAGCTTAAGAGAATTGTTCCACATGTATTACTCACTGTATTAAAATAATAACAACATTTGAGAAAAAAGAAATAAAATCAAATACGACCAAGATGAATATTTACTGTCAGAATGGTTTGAAAAAAACAACCCAACCCCAAACTACACATATCATAGCTAATAACTGATTATAGTTTCTGCACTACCCGACTGTTTTGAAAGATAAATTATCAAGCGTTCTTCAAACATTCTCAAAGCTCCTTTCAGGTTCAGACATGAACAACCCAGGTACCACCCACTATTTGACCCAAAATCATCAATCTTAAAAGCTGCCCCCATCCCCAAGTTATCTAAAGTCAGTCCTCAGTGAAATAAATGTTGTACACTAGAAACGTTTGTGTTTGAGCTAGATGAACTGAATAGATCGACTCACCTTCCAATCTCAATTCCTTGGAAAGGATTGTACACATAAACTTCCTCAGCATCCATTCTTGGACAGATGAAACACCCGTTTCTCTGCAATTTACAACAAAAAAATGTCAACAGATACAAAAGAAGCGTAAAGTTGATATAAAGGGAGATGGACATTAGACTTAGAAAGGGGAAGACGAGATGAGATAAAATAAAAAAGAGAGACTAGATTTGAACACAAGAAATCGTAAGGTCATTTTCCGAATCTTGTTTGGCTAGAGCTATCAACTATCAGAGAGAAATTTAGTCGTAACAGGTTTGGCACTTCAAGTTCGAATTAAAAAATATATATTTATATAAATATTCAGAGCCCCCCGGTAAAGTGCGTGCATTGTATTGTAATGCCTTGGGTCTGCGAGTCTTTAAAAGATTTCGGCCCATGAATCATCATAATAAAAATGGAACAAAACAAAACAAAAAATGCCAAGACTTACATTGTTCATCCTAGGTACATTGCTCTCTTTTTCGGAACATTTTACTTAGTCAATGGTATATATATATTGCTTTCATCAATCTCTTATTGGTGAGGTAGAGAAAGGGTTAAATTAATGTCACCTCCAGTTCTGCTCTCTAGTAGTGGTAGTAGTCATGTTCATCACTCTGCTTTCTTCTTCTCCACCTTCTGGGCTCTTGACTCTATCTACTATTAATCCTGGCTCTTCTTACTGCTGTTTTTCAGCCACACCCCTGATCTTAGGGGTAGATAAAATCAAACACCTAGCCCTCTTGGATAACGGTGAAAAAAATCCCGAAGGTTGAGTGTGCAAGCTGTGCACCTCAAAGATCCCTTGGTGGTCCTAAAATCGATAGTAAAGAAAGCTTCAGCTGCCACTCAAGCAAATTCAAAATTAATTCACCAAAGCTCACATCTCGATTGTTACCACACTAAAATCGAAACAATTTTCATATAAGGCTGGAAATATTTAGGAACATGGGTCGGAAGTTGGAACGGACGTCCTGCTGGACTCAATTCAGAGCCCGAGTAAAGATCTAATTTTTCTCTAATCGGACTCGAGTCCCGAATGTTAAAATTTCTGTATGACCGCTGGTGAGGAAACATTGTATTGTCACTAATAATTATTAGAGATATATTTCTATGGGTGTAGGCCTACCTGCCATGGCTGATAATGATTGATCATAGTCATGGGCTTGACTGGGGCATGGTGTTTTTAGACACAACTTTGTTGACTTCAGCTTCTAAGCCAGCTCAGCCTACTTTTGACAGCGACGGTGGTGGGTAGAGCATTATTCCACAATCAGCACAATCTTCTAGACGAGCACAGTTTATTCACAATTACTGGATAAAACGTTTACTATTTATTCACAATTACTGGATAAAACGTTTACTAGACACCTTGACTCAAGTCCGAATATGAAAAAATGTTATTCGGACTCGGGTCCGGAAAAAAGGAAGTGTCTTCGTTCTATAGATCTAACATTCAGTGCTTCCAATTTTCCGCCATTTTTTAGTTTCCCCCACACCTTTTCTGCCGATCCGATGCCCGCCGCCTCATTGATACGCCCCCCCCCCCCCATGTTTCCCACTTTCTTTGTTGTAGAAAAAGGTAAAATTGAAGATTAGCAGACCACCTGGCACCTGCATATTATGAGCTGGGTAAAAAAAAAAAGACCGATTCGTTCAAATACACAAGCCTGTGTCATATCGATTGTTTACCAAGAAAAAGTTGTGTTGCTGTGTAGAGCTGAGCATACGGCAACTTTTGATTCCAAGACCAGCGCACAATTCATTACGTAGATCTACGTCAAGATTAACTTATTATTGTAATTGTAATAATGATCAGTTGCTGGGGGGAAAAAGACTGACGCGTATGCGACGTTCAACACCCGGACCGATAGTGCCCCCCCACCCCCTCCCCGACACGCACACAGCCACACGTGTGCAGGCTGCCCATCCGACCCCGACACACGCTAACGAGCCATCTTTAATTGCTTCTGATGACCTCTTGACAAATAAACATTTATTATCTAAAAGCGCTATAACTTTTCAGGCCGGCCTCAAATTCATCATAAGATTAAAACTCGGCTCCTGCACAAAACGCCTTTTTGCCCGAAGTGATCCCGGTCTCTACCCAGCCTGAGGCGAGTCACGAGTGAGGCAGGACAGGAAGCCGGATTCACGAGTCATAGGAAGTCGGAAGTGATGTCATGCTGGACAAGAGTCAGAGTCCGAATAGGCCACCTCTATTCTCACCCGGAGTGAGAATAGTGCAGGCGAGTCTTGTGGCTATTCTCACCTGGTGCGCGTTCACCCTAAACCACAGAATTCTACACTGTGATAACAGAAAAATTGTAGAATTCTGTGCCGTGAACAAACGTTCCATTACAACTGTAGCCTACTAAAAGCGTACAATTTTGTCTGTGGGCAGTGGAGAGAGAGAGAGAAAGAGAGGAGAGAGAGGAGTAGCGCGAGAATTTCCGGGCAAAACAAAATGGCGACCCGCGTAGTTCGGCTCGATTCGAAAAGTTAAATAGCCGTAGCACCTTTGTAGACAACCAAATTAATTTACTTTTGTGTTTTAACATCATATTTTAACTTTGTTTTGGTTAATTTGATCGTCCACAGCGATAGACAGTATTCAGAAAGAGAAGAGAGAGAGAGAAGAGGGGAGGAGTTGATCTTGCGAGAACTTCCGGGCGGGTGAGAATAGCCACTTTCATTCAGAAAGAGACAGAGAGAGAGAGAAGAGGGGAGGAGTTGATCTTGCGAGAACTTCCGGGCGGGTGAGAATAGCCACTTTCGTCCGAATAACATTTTTTCATTATAATCGGACTAGAGTCCGAATAGTCACTTCGTTGACCCCCGAAGCACTAGTGCGTCTGTGTTCGGGAATGAAAGTAAAAATTTACCATCTAAACAATCACCGCCCTTGCATAGTTGCCTCAACTCTTGATTGTTGGCATGCTACACACACACACACACCTACAGTACAGCCAACAACGACAGTAGAGGTAGAAATGACTAGCCTACAGGCTACGCCAGCGCCGGGTAGATTCTACCGTACACTACACTACAGTTGAGCAAAATCCTTGACTCCAATCAACTTACCCAGATGTGATTCAAAGAGAAGCCTGAGAATAGAAGGAAAGATTAGATCTATCTAGATCTAGATCTATATGGCATAGTCTGTTATATAATTTTTGTTTAGATATTCCCTTTAAGTTCAATTTGTCGACTGGTTTTTGTACAAAACACACAAGATCTAGCTTTTCTTTTGTTTTGACCGCCATTAAGAGCTCTGAACCTGGAGTTAAATATCATTGGCTGCTACAATTTCCGGCAAAATTTTTTAACCAATGGTCTGTCGAATAGCCAAATCCTAACTTTCGTTTTCTTAACTCTGACATGTAAGATTTCTGATTTTCTGTTCCGTATTTTTCATGGCACTTGACATCAACACAAACAGTGTCTTTCCTTTGAATTTTCCGACTTACACATTGTGTACAATAGACCTTTTTCACCGCGAAATTGGTGAGGGCAACTTTCTTTCTTTGACAGTTTCTCCTAATCTGTCATGATTCGAGACCTGAACAGGGATTAAAAGCAAAACCATTTCAGCAGTCTCAGGTCTCAAGAGTCAAGAGTCAAGAATCAAGTCACCCCAAAGTCCAGATCAACTTCATCAGACTTCAGTCCTTTTCCTTAAATTCTTAAAGTAAAATTTGTTCGTCGACAGTAGATCTAGTTCTGCAGTCTGAGTCTGACGGTTATTGTCAATATTGAACTTTCTGATTTATTGTGTTACAAAACCCCGAAAATTAATGAATGTCATGTAAGCATGATAACAATGAACAAAATGTTGGTGGAGACTTCATTGGACTTGGGGAGACAGAGTGAATGAATTGGATGAAGTGAAGTATTGAGTACAGTCTAGATCTAGATCTAGATCTAGTACAGTACTCTAGATCTAAATCTAGATCTAGATGTCTACAGTAGATCTGTGGAAAGAATAACAAAGTCCTAGTCCTGAAAACTAGCTTCTCTCATCCTCGCTCTCTCACACGCTCATTTCGTCCTTGAAATAAGGAACCAGTTAGATGTTCAGTTAGGCATGCGAACCAACAAGTAACAAGGTAGCCTACCAGTTATTAAACCCTCTTCACTTTCCCCACCTCTCTGTTTCCCCCTTCCCTTTTTCTGCCTTCTGGGCCTTTTTGTGTCTTTTATGACCCAACATATTCTACACAGAAAAACAATGGGGAAACTACTAATTTTTAAAATTTGTTTATATTTAATTTGCATGGTGATTTATGGCTGTAGTTATTCGCACAGGGTATGTGAATACTTTGAAATTTTATTCGCACTGGGTGTGCGAATACTATGAAATTTTATTCGCACAGGGTGTGCGAATACTATGAAATTTTTTTCGCACAGGGTGTGGGAATATTATGAAATTATATTCGCACAGGGTGTGTGAATACTATATGAAGTTATATTCGCACAGGGTGTGTGAATACTATGAAGTTATGTATATTCGCACCTACAGGGTGTTTCAAAAGAAGGATGGAAATCAACCAACCATTTCCTCATTTTTTTCTCCTCATCGCGCAAGGACAAAGATCATAGGGGCTGGATTGAACTTTGGTGGACCCACCGTGTTTATATATGTATTAATGCGCTCTAGGCAAACAACGGACTTATACTTATACAGTCATGGGTCCTAATCGACCACTACACGAACTAGTTCCCGGCGAGGCAGAGTGAGTGAGGGCTGCGAGAATACCACGAGAGAGAGAGAGAGAGAGAGAGAGAAGGGGGGACGAGACAAAGTTGTAAACGGACCTGTTATCCGAATGATTGAAGAGATCAAAGTCCGGAATGTCTAGGCATCGGATGAGGACGTTTACCGCAGGAACAGGCGCAGGGTTCTCACTATTATATATAGTATTACTTGATCCCAGCCGCTGTTTCTTTTTAGGGGGAGGCAGTGGAGGGAGACCAGAAGCAGAGAGGGTTTACAGTAATACTGTAAACTCTCTGCCAGAAGTGGAGGATTGACCAGCAGGTTCCTGATTTTCTTGATTACATGTCGTAGGCTTATTTTTGCTCCTTTTTTTTTTCTGGGGAAGGCAGCGGAGGGAGACCAGAAGTGGAGGATGGACCAGCAGGTTCCTGGTTTTCTGAATTAGTCGTAGTACGCTAATTTGTGGTGGACCGCACATTCAGCACTTAAGTTATTAGGATACTTAGACTTATATATCTAGTATTCGACAGGGGGGGGGGGGGGGGGGGGGAGCTGCCACATGCAGATCAATTATAATAAACAGAGAAAAGTTGACCAGGAACATTTTATAGTTTGCTCTGCTCAAGAGCTTTACTTTAGTGGACCTACATTGCCAGCGTAGGCTAGGCCTAAGAGGTACCATGAGACTAATGATTTGAGAGACGATAGAAGCGCGGGTGAAGTTTACCAGACCAGTGAAAAGAGAGGGAGACACGGTCACACGGTGGAGGTATCTAGATTCGTTTCTAACGTGTACTGTAGGCTCTCTTCTCAATTAAGTTCAGACTTTTCTTCTCTTCGTTTACTTGCGCCAAGACTTGACCGTAGCCTAGATTCTAGAAGAAATGGAGAATCGGGAAGGATTTTTGCCTGTCCTGTACCGTGGTCTCCAAAATCCGTATTAGATCTAGATCTAATGTATATGATGAATAACAAGCAAGCATAGAATGACCATTCCTTTCTTTTAAAAAAAATTCTTCCACTCACACCAGAATCTTAATCAACTCTTAAATATCTAGATCTACATTAGATAAAGAAAAATACATGTGTATAGTCTAGTATTTAGTAACCCATCATCATCATGCCCATGTAGATCATTGTGGGAACAATAGATCTAGACATCTAATGGGCCTGTCTGTTCTCAGTGTCACTGGGAATAGTTTCTTGGCCTCATCCCAGTGACACTGGGAACAATTCTGGCCTATTCCCAGTGCTTTCCAAAATTAAAACCCTGTGCCTAAAACTAAAGGTGGGATACCTGGGTGTGACAAATGAGGTCCAAAATCAACGTTATGTAGTAACTCTGTAATAATACATCATATTATTTATGGCCGATTGATTGCAGTTTTACTCTTAAGGACTGTTCACAAATGACCCCCCCCCCCCCCCCCCTCAAGCTGCCGTCAACTAAAATGTACACATGTGTACATTTAGATAGAACCTCTACAGGGTGCATTTTATATCTGCACCTTTGATCCTTTTTTGTTAAAAAATTGTTTATTAATTTAAAGAGGTAATAATGGTGGCGCTGCCCCTGCTTGCACTGGAACCCGATTGACTGGTACACGTAAACAGCACTCAAGGGGTCTGTTTGGCCAATTTTGGTGGATCGTGTCACCACGAATTTTGTTATTAGTACTTTCATACTCTTTCAGAGCCTCTGTGAACTCTGAAAATTTTAAGCTCTTGAACTTGGCTCCCACTTCCATGCTGAATAGATCTAGAAAAACTAGAACTAGGTGTTGAGTAATTTCAGATTTGCGATGCAATAGCCTTGGGGCCAACAGAATGCTACTGGCAAGGTTTCCCTCAGGGCTCTGTTTTGAAAAATGAAAATGCTACGCAGGTAAGCTTATTATATAGGCCAAGACCGCCTAGTTTCGCGGACTCTCGCATCATTTGCCAATCTCACGCAGCGATCTCGCGCAGGTCGGGTCGACCCTGTGCGAATATAATTATTTCTTATTCGAACACCCGGTGCGAATAATATTAATTCTTATGCACACACCCGGTGCGAATAATATTAATTCTTATGCGCGCACCCGGTGCGAATAACCACTTCCATATATATATATATTATATAGAAATCTAAAATCTATTGCTGTCGTTATTCTCACCGGGGGTGAAAATAAAAATTTAGCAAGTGTGTCTATTCTCCGGCGTCGCGCCGGTCAATAGATCGGAAGCTATTCTTCGGCGTCACGCCGCCGGTCTATTACTAATCAATTATTTGTCGGCGCAGATTTGCAAATACCTCTCTCATCTGTTTGTCTTGGAAAAAAATTCCCATAACTTCACCACTTCGTGCCACTTCGAATTGATACAGACGATAAGTTTTCAGACACAAACTGCCTGAATTCCTCCAATTCAGAATTATGTAGGGTGCTAGGAGAAATGTGCATGTTCACCACTAGTGACGCGAGTTCATAACAAAGAGAGTGAGCATTTAGAAGAAGTCACATTTTCACTGTTTACAAAAATGGAGATAAGACAAGAAAATACTGAGGTCGCGAAATATCAGTTAAATTTATCGAAAATTACAACAACAAAAAATAAGTTTTAAACATCAAGCTATACTATATGACTAGACAGGATTTTAGACACAAATTCAACTTTGAGCGTTTAAAAAAACTGAATCAATATTTTAAAATAAGCAAATGGACGACCCAAATAAATGAATAAAGTTACGTTAGATAATTATCATAGATAAAATATAATGAAAGGTAGACTTACTAGGCCTTGGCTCAAAATCTGCGCCGACAAATACATTGTAATTCATTAGTAATAGACCGGCGGCGTGATGCTGGAGAATAGCTTCCAATCTATTGACCGGCGCGGCGCCGAAGAATTGCCACTTGCAAAAATTTAATATTATTCTCACCTGGGGTGAGAATAATATCCATTTTATTCTCACCCGGGGTGAGAATAATATTATATTGTTATTTTCACCCCGAATGAGAATAAAATGAATATTATTCTCACCTGGTCTGAGAATGCAATGGATTTTTATTCTTAGGCCTACCTGGGTGTTGAGAACTGGTAGGCTGGATGATAGAAAATGATTTGTAAATTGTTAGAGTTACCTTTCGTGACCTGACCCAGGGCGCTGGCAGATTTTTCTAGGCTCCCGCGGGGATTGTTGTTTCATTTTTAAAAATCTTGAGAGTATGCACGAATAATAAGCTTAAATATTTTCACCAAAACCCTAGACAAGTGTATTCTGAATTCAAAAAGGAATTCACTTGCCAGAGTAGTATGTTTTTAAAAATAATAGCCTTAACTGAAAGCTGTTTTTAATGAAATAATGTTAGTAATAGTTTGTTGTTGTAATGTTAGAATTGGCATTTGTTTACAACACAAAAAACATGTTTAATTGTTATACTCCCTAACAGAACCCACTGTTATTTTTAAGTCACGCAGTGCCTTGACCCTTGGCTTATATTTTTATTAAGGCATGCAGTGCCTTGACCCTAGGCTTATTTTTTTCTTAATTTTGAGAGTAAAATTCAAGAGTAAAATTTTAAATTACAGAACCAATAGATTATGGCAACAAAAGGTAACGCTATTTGCTCAAAAGATAAGGTTTTCCCCCAAATTGACAACAGTCGCCTCCCTCGCTCAAGAGCTGGCCTGCCCGTTGGGGATTTTAGTCGCCTCGCGCGCTCAGCGGAGTGAGAGAGGGAGGCGAGTTTTGTTGTCTGGAGCGCTCATTGACAGGGGTCCTATGATGCCCGAAACGAAAAAACCAGGGTGAGAATAGAGTATCAATTTTATTCTCACCCCGGGTGAGAATAATATCCTGTTTATCCTCACCCCGGGTGAGAATAATCACTCCGTATATATATATATATATATAAATATAGATTTATATGCATATAAATAATAGATTTAACATTTTTAATCATTTGTCTAGGGTTTGTTTGTTTTTCAGGGAATTGAGTCGCCATGACTTCTTCAAAGCAACTGTTGGAGACATCAAGACAGATTGGTTGGCCGCAAGTGGAGAAAGTGGATCCACATGCTGTAGATTGGGCTTTTGAAAAAGTGGCTACCCAGCCGTTTATGCACTGGTTTTCTAATAATGTCAGTGTGGATAATGTTATTACAAGTCAGGAACTTCTGGAGTGAGTGGTCTAGTTTGATCAGTTTGCCTTTAGTGACATTGATTTAAACTTTAACCTTTTTTTTTTTGGTAAGCTTTTTACGACGCTCGCGTCTGGATACGGTCATATGAGCACTCGAGAAACATTAAACATTTTCAGTTGTGATATGAAATTTTGAATTTTGCAAAGGTGGCGGCCTACTCTTATCGATTTTGGACCACCAAGGAATCTTTTACATGGGCCAACTTGCACACAGGACCTTCGAGATTTTTCACCCTTGTCTGAGAAGGCTAGGTGTAGATCTTACCTACCATAGGATCAGGGGTGTGGCTGAAATATAGCAGTAAGAAGGAGGCAAGGAGTAGCAGTTAGAAAGGCAGTAGAATCAAGAGCCCAGAGGAGGGGGCAAAGTAGGTGAGGGGGTGGGGGCAGAAATAGGAGTCGAAAGCAAATGAAAATATTGTTAGAGAGCAGGAAAGGATGTGAAAGGAGAACATTATAGAGAAGAAAATTTTCCGTCGCTGTCCGGATTCGAATTCAAGACTACGGAAAGATGAGAGGTGAACACCTTTACCTCTAGGCCACGAGGGCCCCCAAACCCTTTCAAGTTCAGATTCCTTGTCACTAATATAACCCTATACACTTAACCTAGCAGCCATCTAGTCACTGTGTAGTGTTCACATAGTTTGGAGCATTATATCAAGGAAGTCAAATCTGAAGGGAGGGAAGTTGTACCTGGGCAATTTACGTACTCTGTGTCTACCACCCAGCCAAAGTTGTATCATGCAGGCTGCTTTAGCTTCATCTGTTAAGATGCAAAAAGCTATGGACAGTATTCACAGTGGGGGGTGGGGTGGGGGTGGCCTCTTATGTCTTAAAGGAGCAGTGGAGCAGGGAACAACGCATTGTGATGTGCAAATTGGGGGGGGGGGGGGCTACAGGTTAGGGTGTTGGGACACTAGATGCTGAACTTATATAATATATTAATATTATGACATGATAATAATCCTCCTATTCACTAAGCTGGCTCATTTGTGGGCTTTCTTGATTGTATTGGAATCGGATGTTGCAGTCTAGGAGTGTACACTGAATTCAAAGAACAAGAAAAATTGTATACATTTAGCTGCTGTTGTTGGGTCACTCATGATGCCTATTCACACACTTTCAAAATCTTTTTAATATCAAGCCAAAATGTTCTTTGCAAAGTCTTCTACAGACACAGCTGCTTTTGTTTTACTTTTGTTCCATTCCCTTTAGGTAAAGTGTAAAAACTATGGATGGATTTTTTTTAAACACTCTGTTTTGTCACTTAGATTTCAACAACTTGAAGCCAAAGGATGTGTGTTGGAGGGATCACAACTGAATGAAACTTTGGCGTCCATCCCGACTGATAGTGTGACCGAAGGGTTGGATGTAGATCATCTACGGTATGTATATTGAAGAAACTAAACATCAGGTTATGTGTAGTTATATCTTAATATATTATAGTTTGATATAGTTTTGTGTTAAGTTGGCAGGTGTTTTAGTGGCTTTTGCTCCTTTTTTCCCAGTCCTTATCTCTACTCCTTTTTATATTTGTTACTCTCTAGTAACATCTTTAAATCTTCGGCACTTATGATCCTTTTGTGTCGCAATTTCTGTAAAACTTACAAAAACTGGAATGCGTGTGTATTTTGGAGAGACGCATGAAAATTTTGAAGTGACTTGCACGAGGAAGAGTGCAAGATTTGAGAAGGAAAAAGTAACTCTGGAGGCTGCTGTATATTGTTGGTGTTGTTTGTTTGTTTTTGTTGGTGTTATGAATAAATGTGAATCGACAGGGAATTTTGAAATTACGATGGAAATTAAAATCTTTGTTTTTAATGCAAGGAAAATCAACCTAGGCTTTTCAAGAGTTTAACCTATTACTTTAATGAACCCTAGGCTTCCACGCCTTAAAAAACCCTCCCCCCTGGGCTCCCAAGAAAAACAAACAAAAAAACAGGCATGCTATTAGTATTGTGTTAGTACTCATGCAAAAACACACATTTAATAAAACTGTTCCTAACCTCCTGTCTCCAGAACTCCTGCTTAGTGTGCCAATCTGTCTGTCTGTCTGTCTGTCTACTTCTGGGTAGGTGCAAGTCGAAACAGGTTACTCCAAGCCCTGAAATATGGCTGTCTCGGGGCATGGACATTTCAGCCTCACCCTCGATATTTCGAGGTCTCGGGTCCATTGAGTTAGTGTTTGTATACTATGTTGCTTTGCCTTGCATGCTATTTTACACTGTGATGGAGTATGTTAGATCTGTGAATCCAAATATTGACTGTCTCTCATATTTCATCCATGGATTGATGGATTGGGGAGGGGGGGGGGGTAATATGTATTGTGTTCTTATTAGAATGATGCTTTATGAGTCTTTAAAAGAGCTGCTGTGTTGTAATGTTATCTGATGATATATTTCACTCGCAGGTCTGACATTGAAGAACTCAAACAGTCACTGGAGAAGGTGAAAGCTAGAAAAAGTATGCTGATGAAAAGGAATAATAATTTGAGGTATATTCTTGTCTGCAGTCAAGAATTAACAAGTACTAACTTTTTTAATTCTACTGACTACTTTCCCTTAATTTTGCTCTAACGGCCACCTGTCGAAGACAATCACCTGCCAAAATTTCCACTTTCCGCTTCCCCTTGGGTTTTTTTCTATATTATAATGACACTGTCCAAGACAACCACTTCTCTCCTCGACAGTGAGTGGCTGTCTTGAACAATTTTGACTGCATTGTCAAACTGAGTGGTATCTACTGCTACTAGAACCACTGGCCCCTATCACTCACTTGGGTTCACACTAGCCTTACCGTACTAACATTATGTACACTGCTGACTTCAAAATTTTGTAGGGCACTGTACGATGTTTGGTGTAAACTGATTTGGATGTCAAGTGTTTTGAAGTGACTTGTGTCTGTGGTGTAATGGTTAGGCTCTCCACCATTGCACACAAAATACATGGGTTCGATTTCGTCGGCCAGTTTTCAGGTATTAAGCCAAAAATTCTGAAAAATTTTTATTGCAATTTTTTAATCTGTGTTATCAGTTGCATGATCTCCAGAAATATTTTGTCTAAATCAAATACTAAATGTTGAAAAAAGCCAGAAAAGATCATCTTGGTACAAGTTTTAAAAGAATGAAACAGTTTTTTTTTCTCTCATGAAAATTTTACTTTCTGAGCTTGGAACATTTGAACAACTTTCCAATGATATATATATTTTTTTTTACCAAACAGTGTTCACCACATGGCAGTGAAGAACAAGCTGACAAAGATGAGAGAGGTGAAGGAACAGTGGCTGAAGATGAACAGACAGAGTGTGGAGAGGTGTGGAGCTGTCAACGCAAAGGTAAACCCTTTGGTGCAGTTTGGAAACAATTTTAATTGTATGGATGGTTGGCAGGTGCTCTTATGTGGTTTGCTCCTTCTTGTCTACCAACTTTATCTCTCCTCTTTCTTTACTTTGTTACTCTCTAATTTTAGGCTATTATTAAAATGACCTACTATGTGCAAGTAGCGTAAAACTCTTACTTAAAAAAAACGTTAGTTTTTTGTGTGTCAATCCCTTCTATATTATAATATGGTACTCCTTCATTTGTGTATTTTCTTCTCCGTTCTGGTCATTTTTTGTAGTGCTAGTTACTAATGACAAAAGAGGCATAGGTTGACCAAGAATAACTTAGTTGGAGACTTTGGACGGACGGATGGGTGATGGGGAAACGCTCGGATAACATTCACAGATGTCTATTTCAGATCTAGATCTAGCACTTGAAAGAAGAGCTACTAATGAAAACTCTTGTTGAACATTTTTGTTTACAACAAATGTCAGTTTCGTTATCTTGTCTCTCCAAACACCACAATGGCCTGACACAAACATGGGAAAAACTGAGAAAGGAACTTTGTTTGTTTTCAGATTGACGAGTCTCTTCAGAAGCTAGTTGGCAGTGTCGGTGCCTTGATAGAGCTGTACAACTGTCCGTCGAAGACATCCAAGGAATCCAGGACTGGAGTTGAGGCATCGTGTGATTTCCTCTCTCAAGCCGAATTAAAAGCGTTTCACGATGCAGAAGAAAAGTTCTCCAGGGATTTGACTGCTTTTACCAAGAAGCAGTTTTTCAGCGTGAGAATACTTTACCTTTTCCGGCCTCTGTTACTGTGAGATGTCGAGGGGAGAAGCAAACATTCTTCTGTTGTTTGTTGCATGGTTTTATTGTTTTTGTCTAATGTTCCACTGACCCCCCCCATCCATTTTATCCTGGGCCTTCCTCTCTATCCATCTGATATCTGATTGTGTGCTCTTGCTGCTAAACTGATGTAAGAATATAGACTACTGAAGCTGCAAGAGACAGGATGTGTGCAGAGGTGACAGGTTTTTTCGGATAATTCTGGAAGTCCAGGCTTATGAAATTGTCTACCATTTGCGCTTTAAATAAAAATAGTTTTGATACAAGATATAATAGACAATAATTATGACCCATAGAGTTTGAGTTCCCAGCTGCATGTGCTTTTATGAGGTTCAAAAAGTTCAGGATTTTAGTTCGTAGCCAATTGGCACTTTTGTATGTGTGAAAATCACTAAAAGCCTCTGTAAGGCAAATGTTAACTTTTGAAATCATACACTGCTAAAAAAAAACCCTGTTACACATTACTTAATTTCCATAACAACAATGGTGTTTTGATGTTAACGTTTTGCTAAGATTTATGATGAGAGTCCTTCATGTGGATTTCAGTTTTACATTTGAAATACAGAGAAAATGTTGTTGTCTTGTGATGTAGGGTTTGGCCGAGCTGGCTGGTGAGAGGGAGACAGCAGAATACAGTCTTCTGGACGTCAGCTCCCCTCAGAACGTGGCCCTAAGTGGGGACGAGAAGGACACGTTTCTTGACGACTGTCGAGAATTCACACGGATTCAGGAGATGTAGGAACTTAGAATGATTAATTTCTGAATGTTTTTCAGGGAGGCCGTTTTTCGGGAGGGGGGTTTCCGTTATTTCAGCTAGGGGAACAGCTATTATTTGAAGCATTTATTTTCTTTTTAGCCTCATATTAGTTGTGTCAATTGATAAGTCTTAACTGTCTTTTTATTTGCAAATGCAACTTTGTAAATGTTCAGGTATTTTCATTAATTCCAAGTGCCATCCCTGTTTGTTTGTTCATGGGTTTTGTTTTATTTTTGTTCTTGAAATCTTTATTTTTAGGCTGATAATTTGTATGTTATTTTTTCTGTTTTGTTTCAGTTGCTTTTAGAATAATTCGTTTTGTATCTTTCAAGTCAAGGACTGCTTTCCTTTGTTCAGTTTTCCTGTGAGCGAAACTGCTCGCATCAACGCTCTGGTCAACTCCCAGAGGGCTCTGTGTGCCGTGCGAGAGGCTGGTTCCATTCTCCGTCTCCTCAAGTCGGACCAGTTCCCGTTGTCGCCAAAAGAGATCAGGTGGGAGTCGGTGTGATTTGAAAAAAACTTTATGTACCCGTTTGTGGCTTCATGTACCTAACTGATAACTAGAGTGAATCATAGAGATTCTTCCTGATAACTGCGGTCTCTTATAAGAGAGATGGTTAAAGTTCTGTGTGTTTCATGTTTCCTTCTGTCTGCTGAGATGTTGTGTCCCTCACAGCAAGGGTTGGCCCTTACAGGTTGGTTAATGCAGCCTTCCCCCTAGATGATCTATGTAGTGTCCAAGAGGGCGTGACACCCACTTTGTGATCATTCCTACCTAGCAAGCTCACCTTCACTCATGATATATTTACTTTCTCATCAGCCAACGCAAGCGCGATGCGGAACAAAACATGGCCGCCGTCCAGACAGAGTCAGCTCCCCTCCTGTCGTCGGTGCTGGGCCTGGTGGTGGAGCTGGGCGGCCTGCAGGGGACTGACGTCCTCACCGGAGACTACGACCTCAAGCTGAGGCGGCAAGACTACTTCATGAAAAATCAGGACAAAGTAAGAGCTTGCGTGAACTGATGTTTTTTTTGTTGTAATTAGTTGTAGGACGTCACTAGTTGGTCATTTTGTGAACTGGTATTTCCTTGAGGACAGTTGTACAGCGCCTGTGGTAGGTCATTTTGTGAAGTCACTTTTCTTCATTTTCTTCATTATTTTTTTTCGTCTCAAGAAGAGGTAGAGGTAGGCCAAGAGCAACATCTTCAAAAAGTCAAACAATTCTTGGTCAACTGGAAATAATCAGGGTACCGCAGTATTTCACAGGATGGCTGAATATAGGATGAGTGGAGAGGATGGTCACCGCTGTCTGTTCCAGACCTGGCTCTTGAGAGAAAGAGGTGGAGAGAGAGAGAAAGAGATGGAGAGAGAGAGAAAGACGTCTCATCTGACGATCTATTTTCCTCAATCAGGTGATCGACCAGCTGGTATCGCAGCGAGCGCGGAACGAGTTTCTGTCGCTTCTGTACGAAATGGAGGTGAGGTGGCACAAAGAGACGCACCGTCTCCTCACGGCTGCCAGGCAGACTCTACAGGGACAGATGAGCACCTGGCAACAGCGAATGGTAACGTTGTTTGTCTTGTGTGTTATAGAAACTTTCTTTGAAAAGAATAAGATTCCCCTTTTGTTAATCTCAGTGGTTTACAATGACTTGCCTACATACAATAGACTTTGCTTAAACCGAAGATCGTGTGTACAAGATAGTTCACTCCTCTCTTTGAGCTAATTAATGAAGTGTCCTTAAAATCCGGTGGCGCCCTCTTCGAAAAAGTGCCCACTTTGCGAGCAGAGTTACCCTACTTGTGTGAAAAACAGTCGAAGTGAAACTACCAAGTTGTGCAGTTGTGCTATTCCTAATTCTTCTTTAGAGAAACGAAAGAGAGATTCAAAACAATGACTGCAGGGACATCTGAAGCAATGCATGGACTTCCGCGGACACTTTTTTGGCTGAGTGAATGATCTTGTTATGTACGATTTTTGCTTGAACTGAACTTTGTTAATCCAGGAACACTGGTAAACGGAAAGAAAATAGAATCCCCCTTTTTTTTTTTTCTTCACTATTTTGAGCCATCTCTGAACCAAAAACATGGCTAACTTTAACACAATGTGGCGGTCAGCAGTTATCAGTTCAAGTGGTCTCCCCTATACATAAATCTATGCATATATAATTAATCCATCAATGTTGCTCCATGTCATTTGTTGTTACCACTGGGACGAACACCAATTTTTTAACCGTGGACATCATTTCCTGCTCAAAGACACATACCAAAAGTATTTATCATGGTAGTACCTTCTCGCAGCGTTTCTTTACTTGAAGATGAATTTTAATTGTTGTTTGTCGTTTCAAAATGTTCATGTTTTTCCATATTTTTGTGTCGTGTGAGTCATGACGTATTGAATTGTGGTTCTTACTTTTTTTTTCCCTCCCTTTTTTCTTCTTTAAAAAAAAAAAAAGAATGAGCTGGATGATCCTGATTTTAGTGTGAAAAAGTTTGAGAGCAACGTGGTGGACACGAGAGACACGTCTACAGCCAGGCTCTATCAGATGCTGGGTATGTGTTCTTCATGTATAGCTTCTTCCTGCTTCTGTGGGAGAATGATTATCTTCTTCTTCTTCTTCTCGATGGCATCACACTTGAAGTCCGGTATCTGTCATAAATTGGGCCGTCCTGCTCAGTTCATCTGGCGGCCCGTATAGCTTCTCTTGTAGCGTCAGTGGGGTTGGCCACGTTTCCTGTCTCAGGGCCCTGTGTGTCTTGCAGTACTGAAGGATGTGTTCAACAGTTTGGTCCGCCTCTCCACACTGGCATTTTGGTGATTGTACTAGTTATGATTATATATTATTTTTCTTCTTACTTCTCTGACCATTTGGTTATGTTATACTGGTGTCTTGTTTCTACCTTTTTGTTGTTGTCCTTCAGAAGTTTATTATTCCTATGCGTTTTTAGAATGAATGTAGCACCAACAGTTTTAGAATATTAGACATGTGCTAGAAAATAAATGGTTATTATTTTTTAAAATATAAAAACCAACTGGTGTAAAAATTCATTCATACATTCATACCATCATCAATACAAGCTTTTCTTCAGTCATTGTCAAGTGCAACATACATGTCATTTTGTATATGCATCCAATGATTTTGTGTGTGTGCGTAATTAGAAATATAAGTTTGTGTTTGTTTGTGTGGACTTATGTGTGCATGTATTTACCATTCGGCAGCAAATTTCTCATGTTGGAGTTAATAAAATGTTGTCTTTTCTTATCTTCTTCCATTTAGATCAAGGAAATAATCAGGGCTGCATTAGATGTCACACTGTTACACTGCTGCTGGAGAATTTTAAAGTAAAATTCCAAGGGAAATTATTATGGTTCTTGTCAATCTTCTTTGTATCGTTAAATGTTCTCTCATTCTTGTCAATCTAAATTGTGTTGATGGGGGGGGGGGGGCGGCATAAAAACACCTAGATATTTTTTTATTTTTTTTTTCAATTTCAGATGTTACCGAAGATGAAGAGAAGCCGCTATACCTGCAGACTCAGAAGGTTGTTGCCAAGGGGAGAAAACTGCAGTCGGAGCTTGATGGGGTCCAGCTGGCTGACAGGACGGCAGACGAAAAGTGTTTGGCCAAAGTAGGACAGCTGTGAGTTGTATAATTTTCTCTCTGTAAAAGTAAAGTGCTGTTGTTGGGACAATAAAGATTTATCTTATATCTAATCGTATCGTATAGAAATTGGTGGGTTTTTTAAAATTTGAATTGCTTGAAGAAAGAAAAGTATGCATATAGAAGTGCTTAATAAAGTTTGGTTTTCTTAAAGAAAGAAAACCATGCGTATATAATAGAAGTAGAAGTGTTAAAAAAGTGTGTTAAAAATTTTGGTTTGTTAGAAGAAAGAAATGTATGCCTGAAGAAATGCTATAAAAAGTTTTGATTTTCTAGAAGTAAGAAAAGCATACATTTATGCAGAAGTACTTTTAAAAAGTGTGTAAAGAAAAGTGCTGATACAATGTTTGGATTTAATTTTTCTCCCCCCCCCCCCCCCCCCCCCCCCCAGCGAGTCGTGTGTGGGCGAGTGTGAGGCGGTTCTGTACTCGGGCTCCAGCACTAGCCGAGGTCTCCCCGCCCTGTCTCTGCTGGACGTCCAGGTCTCTATGGTCAGTCTGATGTCCAGCGTCAATGCTCTGGAGAAATGTATCATGGAGGTGGTCAACGACATCAATGCCAAGAAGACGGTGAGTTTAGACACTTGATTTGACATTCCAGGAGAAAGACGTAATCGTTAAGATACGGGAAATGGGGATAGAGAGGGGAGAAAGAAGAAAGGAACAATTATCTGGAAAGGAAAGGCGTTGCCATAATCAAACAGCCACTGGAACAATTAGTATAGATACCTTGCGTTTTGGAGCTGAAAGGAACTGAGCACTTGTGGACCTGTCTGATGTGCAATGACCTTGTTGCCCAGGACAGGTAAAACAGAGAGAGGCGGAGGTAGGGACTACTTGGTAAAAATTCTCCTCACTGAGGAATGGAACTCGGGTCTCGGGCATGCATGTGATCGCGAAGTGTCTAATCGCTATAACACAAATGTCAGTTAGGAGAGATAAGGACAATAGATGTTTGTGGGAAAGAAAGAGCAAGCCACTCCAGAGCACCCGCCAACCACCCACTCTAAGGAATGGGAGGGTAGAAAGGAATTGTGATCATATGTGTGTGGGTTTGGGAGTTGTGTGTGTGTGTTGTTAAATAGTCTCACAATGTACATTTTCGGTCCTTTGATTTGTCACTTGAGTGATAATTGTGCGTTGTTTGGCATTTAGAGCCTTCTAGGGTTTAGCACTAAATGAATTCCCATTATCGTTGATAATAATAATTTTTTACTGTGTCTCTCTTTCTGCCTTCAGGCCCTGAAGAACAACGTGTTGTTGAGCAAAGAGCGAGAGTTATTCAGCCTGTTCCACACCAACCCGAGCCGCCTGCAGTACGTGGTCAACGGGCTCAACGACCGGGTCAAGGCACAGCAGATACAGGAATCGTGAAATTGTTTGTGTGTGTGTCACGACGCGACGGAATCCGGCGCTTGTCAAATGTTGGGCATGTGAAGAAGTTAATGGTATCACCGTTAAGCTTTGAACATTTGTCTTGCTTTTAGTGAAAAAAAATACCGTCTTATCTTGAGCAGAAGTTGAGATTTCTGCTTTTGAAGAAGATGGGAATGGGGGGGGGGGGGGGGGGTCTCCTAGTGCCAGATAAATTAAGCGAAAAAATGGCTGCCGAAGTGTGATAAATACCTGAATACTAAAGTTTGGTGTCCTTGGAAACTGAAAATTTACTCTTTTTTTTTTTGTGTCTGTGTTTTTTCTGAAATTCCACACAGAAATATGTTTTCAGATGGAAATAAAAGGTGTTGAGCCAAAGAAAAAAAGTCTGATAAATATTGCTCAACTGGTGGAAAAATGGTGGTTTCTTTGATTTCATTATTTTGATGAGCACCTGATTTCACCACAAAGCCATGTACTTTATCATTTTTTTTGTCCTCTGTCCCACGGAACTTGTTTTGTACTGACGTTAACATGTACAATAAGAAACTGTTGACTGTTGGGGTTCTTTGTTATTGGCTGTAAATAAAAATAGATCAGCATAGTACAATTGTTTTGGTTTTCTTTTTGCTTTTTTTGCGTGTGTCTTCTTTTGTGTGTGTATGCATGCATGTGTGTGTGTGTGTACCTGGGTTTGTGTGGATTGAGGGAGGGTGCGACTGACAGGTCCTGCTTCTTTCCCTTTCCTCTGTTGTTTCTGCCTGTCTTCTCTTACTTCTTCCTAGCACGAAATACCGATAATTTTTCGAGCTTTGAGAAAAAGGAAAAGAGAGCGCTGAAGTCAGAACCATGACTTGGTCACCCATTATTTTTCAATGGAAATGAACATGGTGAATCTGAAAATATCTGTAAACAGAAAGAAAATAAAGCTATTTTTCCCCCTTCTATTTAAGAAATCTCCCTATTCCAAAAACCCAGCTATACAGAAGATCCAACAGTCTCGTAAGCTGACAAAACGCCTTTCTTTCTTCACAGCTGTTTCGAGAAAAATGTTTTTTTCGTCAGCGTAACCATTTAAAAATAAAGTGATTTTGAAATTTGAATTCTAAGTTATTCAAGAACTAATCACAGTTTCACTTTAATATTTTTCACACAAGTAGGGTAACTGATCAGGCTTTCAATTAGCAAAAAAAAAATGTTGGCAGCAAAATGCAAAAAGGCATTATGTCAGCTTCCGGCTGTTATAGTTCTGTTTCAGAGGACTCCAGTGTAGTGTTCTTCCTTGTTTCAGTTTCAATCTTGGTTTTTAAGCGGAGTCCACTTTATATTGTAAGAATTGTTAACTCTTGACGTCTTTATTCGAAAAAACATTTTTTTGTCTGGAAACCTCCAGATATTTACTTGGGTAATTGTGGAATGGTGCAGACTGACCATAGCGATCTCAATATATTCTCAGTTCCTGGGAAAAATTCAGCAAGAGCTGCCATTTGACAGTTGTGCAAATAGCTTCAAAAACTGACTTCTAGCAAGATCTTTCTCAGTCCCGCAGTCTCTGCCATATTACAGACGTTCAGACACACTACCATGTTGACAAGGTCTTCATCGGCTTGGCACTTAGCTGTCGCACGTCAGGAAACGCAAGTTCGATTCCCGAGAGGGGAGAATATTTATTGAGTATCTCAGTCTTTCTGCTGGGATATTGTATCCCTCTTCTTAGCCCAGGTTGGTTTTGAAAAGCAGGGTCTGAACCGCGCCTCCTAAATGATCTAAAGTGTGTCAATGGGGACGTAAAAGTAAAACACCTGCATAAAAAAAACGACAGTCTTCTTTTGTCTTTAATTGAGTATCCATTCTGTCCAGTGTGAAGGGAGGAAACTCCAGCAGAGTGCCTTTCCCAAGGACACAACTCTATAAATTAGAGTTGGTTGCACGTCCTGTAACCTAATGTAGTTTTAGTTTTAGTAAGAGTTTCACGAAGCCGCAACACAAATAGGTCACCTAAGTGCCTAAGATTAGAGGTATTACTAGAGAGAAACATTTTTTAAAAACGAGCAGAGATACGGACGATACGTGTTTGATAGAAAAGAAGGAGCAAACTACACCACGGCATCCGCTAACCACCCACAACCACTAGACTACCAGTGCCACATAAAGCTGGTGCCAGTCAGTTAAGTTTTACTGTTTATCAAATTATTTCTGAAAAACATTTTACTTCTTCCTAGAAGATTTCAAACAGAAGCCGATAACAAATTTTTAAATATTAGCAAAAAATAAGAGTCACATTCAGTATAGGCCAGGCCTGAGGAGTCCAGGACTGTGGTATTATTTGGACCACAGGGAAGTGAGGGCTCAAAATAGCACAGTGCTGTAAAGGCTAAACTAAGTTTTGAGAGAATTGTCACACAAAAAATTTTGAGTTTCACATGTCAAGCTTTTTCGAATGCAATTCTTTGAATATCTTGATAACGACTCCAAAATAACCTTGCGATTTTGATAGAGCAGACAGAATATTTGGTAACTGACCTCATGGTCTAAGTTACTCAAAACGGCCAAAAATGTCAGATAGAACTTTGTAGTTCTAAATCTAAGGAAGGATTTGTGGAAATTGTTTCAAGAAACCAGATATACACAGTTTAAAGCACAACACCACCAATAAGGTACATGTAGCAATATACTGAAATGAAGGAAATACAAAGGCACAAAAAGTGTACTGTGCTGAGCTATCTTTATTTACACAGTCAGTAGCAGAGAATCCCAACAGTTCCTTATTGCACAAGTCAATGTCAGTACAAAACATGATCAAAGGGACACAGGGGAAAAGAAATTAACGATGGAAATGTAATATTAGTAACACAAGCAGGGTAAATGGGAAAACGTTACAGAAAAAATTTTTGTGAATAATTTAAAAACAAAACAGGCAAACAAAAAAAGCAAAAATGGGGAACAGTTTGAGCACAGTAGAAGGAAGAAATGTACACCTTAGTACTAGTAGCAAAACTTGACAGCTTATAACTTATACCAATATGGTTTGAACGCCTGTCAGATTCCCCCAGCGTTTGTTCGTATCCGCATAGATGATCAACGTGAGAGAAAAATAATTGTGTACACTTCATCAGCATATGGAAATATAGAAGTGACCACCTCCATTTTAGCCAAAAATTATAGATGTGGGTCTTTCAAACAATGCTCCATCTTGCCAATTAGTTATAGTAAGTTTTTACAGCACTTGTAACACAAATAGGCCAAAGAAATGTCCATGATTTGAGGTGTTACTAGAGAGTAACATAAAAAAAAAGGGGGGGGGGGGGGGAATTTCTTATTATATAAACCCTTTATCATAGCAATTCATTATACAGCATGTATATCCTTGTCATCGAAAATGGGGGGAGCTGAGGATGAAATGCCAAGCAGGGAAAAGAGGAGCAAACCATACCAGAGCACCCACCAACTACCCACTTCCATCACATCTGTAAATAAGAAATGAATCCACCCAACTGCTTCGCCACAATCAGAATTCCCAATATGTCGGAGCAACTCTGTAGCAGACACACTTCAGACCATACAACAAGACAGTCTCTCCTTCAATCAGGCTACTTGCTGGGCTGTAGACAGACGTCTGCATCTCCCGGCGACGCCCACCGCCATCAGCGGAAGGGATAGGAAAAGTACAAGTAAAGTAAGTAGAATTCCCCATATGTCTATGTCCAGATTTTTCTGTTTACACGACACAGTAGCATAAAAGGTCAGCCAGCTGGGAAAACGTGTTAAGCCCAAATTCTTAAAAAATTATTTTTCACTGCAGTTTCTTAATTTGTGGTATAGGTTATAAGTGCTAAAGAAATATTTTGTTGAAATTCGGATTTCAAATGTTGAAAAAGGCAAGAAAAAATACAATTTAGGTACCGTACAATTGTTAAAAGAATGAAATAATTTTTTCTCTCTTCTGTAAATTTTTTTTTCAGGGCTTAGTACAGTTGAACAGCTTGCTGACCAAATATCCATTTTTCTCAAACCAAGGAGTTTGGACGTGGTCACCTCTAGCAGTCAGACGAGGGTAGGAGGGATCTTCATGACACTGTGTAGCAGTAGGAGCAGCAGTAGGAACATGTATGCTGTAGGAGTTGACGAACGAGAGCACAGACATTTCATTCACAGTTCTGTAGCACAAGAGATGACGGCTTGTCCGAGAACACCTAGCCAGCAGCCGTGAAGAGGACTCCTTCACGAAGGAGATTGTGATTGCGAAAGGAGTGCAGCCTGGTGAAGGTAGGAGGAGCAGGCTGTGTGACCCCATCACTCAGACGCTACAACAACCAGTTGATGATGGAGACAATCAGCCTGCCCATACTGAAATGGACCCTCATGAAGAGGGGCGAGGAAGCATGGAGCAACCCGTCTTCCTAAGACCCCCAGTTCTACATCCAAGCATCCAAGAGGACAGCTACAGGTGATCTCACCAGCTAGCAGCATAACTCACATTCGCCGGCTGATTCTATCTGACAAACCAGCTTGTGAATGGAGAAGTGGAGAGAATCATGCATGCCCACTCAACAATGGCCATCTTGTGCATGGACAAAGTAAGACAGAGGGTGGTTGGAAGGCACACTTGATGTGGTTTGCTCCTTTCCTATAGAATTAAAATATCTATCGTCCTTAGCTCTCCTCCATCTTGTCTTAGTTTGTTACTTTCTAGTAGAACTTCTAATCTTTTTTAAAAGTTTTAGTAAGAGTATTATGGTACTTGCAACACAATAAGGTCATATAAGTGCCGAAAATTAGAGGTGTTACAAAAGAGTAACAAACAAAAAAAAGAAGGAGAGATCAGGACGATAGCTCTTTGACAGGAAAGAAGGCCAACCACCCACTACTAATCTTCTGCACTTACAATATGACTTAATATGCAAGTGCCATAATAAAATTCTTATTAAAACAAAAGTAAGACAGCCAGAAACAAAAGAGGGAAAGAAAAGAAGCACAAGCTATCATCTTGCCAAGAAAAATCCCCCTGTGGTTAGAAATTAATGACAGCTAGTTTATTAAAAACCATGAAACAAGATAGAGTATACATGAATTTAATATGGGACAAAAGAATAGTTTTAATGCTTTCAAACCTGACACAGATACCTACTGTCACAAAGGTGGTTGGGGAAAAAAACCTAAACCAGGACAGAAATCAAGAGAGGGAGAATCAGAAACTACGACCTACCCCAGGTGCTCTCTGCCCACCAGCGGAGAAGGAAAGTTTCCTGAAATGTTTATTTTGTGCCTATTATGGAATGGTTACTTCATGTCATATGTATATATATATATATAAATATTATAATACATTTGTATCGTTCAAACTACAAATAAAGACGTAATCACAACGCAAAAGATGGGCTGGTAAATAAGGAGATTTGAACTGAGAGATCCACAAAGTAAGAAGAAAGCCAAATATTAAAGATAACAAAAGTATGATGAAACACAAATATAATTGTTAACACAAGCAAGAGGTTACACAAACATTTATTGTTTACAAATGTGTGGCCAAAACCAAACATTACTGGCGACAAAAGTGCAGTCCAGCATGCACATAGCGAACACACACATAGAAAACAGATTTCAAGTCCTGAATTTTTTCTTGTAAATTAAATGTATTTTCCTTGTATTTAGAACACGTACAAAGCAAAATTTGTAAATGATAATGAGAAGGTTTCCGCGTCTCGCTTATTTCGCTATGTGTGCGCTAGACTGTACAACAAAACACAAACATTATTGGTAACAAAGTATGACCAAACACAAACGTTATTGGTGAAAACGTCTGATCAAACACAAATATTGGTAACAGAGTATGACCAAACAAACGTTATTGGTAACAAAGTATGAAAAAACACAAATATTGGTAACAGAATGATCTGCAGCAGAAAGTGCTGACGTAACAGGTCGTAACTCTACAGACACTAAGTCAGGTAGTGGTTCTGTAACAAGGCAGACTAGTAGTAACAACAAACAAGTAAACCACGCTAACTACACACACACTTGACAAAACACATGATGCATATCAGATTTATTTAATATATATGTATATTGTTCCATCTCAATTTCCCCGGACACATTTCTTTTATATCATACAGCAAAAACTTCATTTGTCCAAGCCATCATCAAAAGAGTCAATATCGCTGTACTTGGTGAAAACTAAAACGTTTTTGCGCAGAACCATTGCATGCACCCCTCTGCCATGACTAAACCATAAACTATTTTGGTAGTAGAAAGTCTTACAAGTGTTCTAGAAAAGTGACGCAACATTTACATTATGTAGAGACGACCTCCACTGCTCTACGATTTACCAAAACCCAGACTGACCCCACAACCTCCCAATGGCAAGTCACCGCCGACCGGGGGGAGTTAAGTACAGAGTAAAAGGCTTCCCATTTGATCACACGACGAAACCCCAGCCAGTAAAACAAAAGGAGCAAATATTTTAAAAAGGAATGAAACAAAACAAAACCTTCAATAAACTCAAGTTATCGTATTAAGTGGAATGATAGGCTAGGACATCAGCCAAATGTATTTGTGAGAGTAATGAGAGAGAGTGAATGAGAGAGTTAATACATTTCTCAGATTCTAACATTCCCCTTCTTTATCTTCACGAAAACCATCGCTTCACATTTCAGTGGGAATTTTAGAGTTAAAACTAGTGATACTGAATGCCTACCTATAGACATTTTTAAAAAAACAAAAAACTCTGTTAACGCTGTCTTGATTTTCGCTCCATTATCCATAAACTAACTAAAAGTAGTTCTCAAAACAACAGCTGAGAAAAGCAAGAGCCAAAGCCCGTATAAATAAGCTACACAGTTATACACCAGCGAGAAGCACTGATTTCAAATTAGGATATCTTTGGATTGGATAACTTCCAGTATTATCAAAACAAGCAAAAATGTCCTTCTCTACCACCAATTTGGAACCGCAATGACAGAGAACAAACAGTAACACTGCTTTAACTGTTGTCTTTTTTAAAAACATAACACATAAAATAGTTATTTGTTTTTGTGCTTTTACCAGGCGGGGGAAGGAGGTTGTTTGTGATTACTCCCTGCATGAGCCTTTTAAAAAAATAATTTTTTAGTGGTAAATTATTTACGGCGCCTGCAACTGCATATAAGCATGAGCCTTTGATGAGGACAAAAAGCAACTTTCCATCTGAACACATAACCAGCAATATCACAGTAACATAATCCTCTCAGCTCGCAGAGCAGCAAGCCGCAGACAAAGGTATCCATATATTATTATAAATACAATATTCTCATCACGATGAATCATTCGCTAAAATAGTCACACACTTCCAAATCTACTCTGCATACTGCTAGACGTCCAAGAGAAACAATAGCACAGAAACATAGTAAGAGAGCACATGTGAGTACGTCGTGTGTGACAGTAGATGAAGTATCGACAACTCAAGCTCTCTGCCCCTATCTCTACAGACTACACAGCCAGTGTCTACCTACAAACAGTCAATAGTAACAGCCTGAGCAGTCAGTGTGTACTAGTACTAGACATATGTATACATTTCAAATCAAATATACGTGTATATATATATATATATGGACAAACCTGTAATAATATAACATATTACTACATAGCACAACCCAAATATGAAAAACCCCATCATGTCAGGAACACATAGCCACAGAATGGTTCACTTGCTGTGTGAAAATTGTGGAAAACTATTTAGTAAGTACAGATTTCAAAATTAAGAAAATAGTAAGACAGTAAGAAACAAAATAAACGGGTTGAGGACAAAACGATGCTTCACACGTTTAGTCCCTGTTCTCCACACACCCTCGTCTCTCTCTCCACACACCTTCGTTCTCTCTCTCCACACACCTTCATTCCCTCTCCACACACCCTCGTCCTCTCTCTCCACACACCCTCATCCTCTCTCTCCACAAACCTTCATTCTCTCTCTCTCCACACACCTTCATTCTCTCTCTCCACACACCCTCGTCCTCTCTCTCCACACACCTTCATTCTCTCTCTCCACACACCCTCGTCCTCTCTCATTCTCTCTCTCCACACACATTGGTTCTCTCTCTCCACACACCTGCCCATCCCCCAATACTTCATACATACACACACACACATACAGCGACAGCTGTTCTAACAATTCAATTAATCAGGGTCCAAGTAACATCATGTAATGATAATGCCACTCTCACGACTTCACTGTACTTTGTTGCATTGTAACAGCAGGAAAAACTCAGTCAAATCTATAACAATACATAAAAACGTCAGAAACATGAGGGGGTTGAAGAACCAGGACGTGTAAACTAACAAACTAACAGTTACACACAGGGACACAATAATCTCACTGAATGCTGGGCAGCTCTGCATATTATTATTATATCATATCAATACATATCAACATAGTGACATGCGGTGAAAATCTGACACAAGATATAAGCCTTACTCTCGTGACATGGTTTGTATCAGTCACAAAAAAACCCCCAAAACACATGCAACAACAACAACAAACAAAAATTTAAAACAAAAAGCCCTCACTCATAAGCGACATGAATGTGTTGCGACATTCACACACGTCAAACGTGGTTCAATTTCAGTCATACATGATAACTTAAAAATAGCAAAACAAGTTTGCCGCAAATGCTTGAATGTACATTGACCATCCTTTTCTCTGCACTTTTAGACTGCAATTTTTTAAAGGGTTGGGTTTTTAAAAATTACAGGTTTCATTATCCGTTCAGGAGGCATCCCAAAAATTCTGTTCATCTTCCAGGAAAAATCTGGAAATTTCTATTCATTCAATCAGGTATCAAAACATCGGGAAATTCCCATTCATCTATTCAGGAAAGGTCCGGATATTGCCTCTCACTTATACTCATCTACCCAGGGAACATCACAAAATTTCCTTTCATTCATCCAGGAAATATTGCGAAATTTCCACACACTAAAAAACAAAAACTCAAGATGTAAAGTCTCGTCCATGCTCATCTGCCAGAAAAACATCTGGGAATTTTCACATCCTTCAAACATTACAAAATTTCCACTTATCTATTCAGGAAGTATCCAAAGACTACCACTCATTTTTTTAAAAACAAAACCTCTGCTCATCTATCAATGAAATATTGCGAAATTTCAACTCATTTATCTAACAAACTTCTACTCATCTATCAAGGAAATATCACAATATTCCGACTCTTTTAACCAAACTTCTGCTCATTTCTCAAGCAAATATCGCGAAATTTCCACTCGTTCATCAGGGACAAATCCAGAGTGAGAGAAAGTACTAGTAGAGCGGCTTGCATCCCTCCTCCTCAAACTTGGCCCAGGCGTCGTTGAGCTCCATGAAGATGAGCTTGGCCAGGGCCTGGTGGGGGTCGTCCGTCAGCTGGGGACAGGGCCAGGGGAAGCTTTTTAGTTTTTGGAGTTTTTGTAAGTGTTTTACAGCACTTGCAACACAATAAGGTCATATAAGTGCAGAAGATTAGGTGTTACAAGAGAGTAACAAACACCAAAAAAAAACCCAAAAAAAGGAGAGGAGATAAAGACGATAGACATTTGATAGGAAAGAAGAAGCAAACCACACCACAGCACCCGCCAACCACCGGCGAAACATTTTAGTTTTTTAAAGTTTTTGTAGGAGTTTTACGGCACTTGCAACATAATATCATAATCATTATCATCACTGCCTTTGCCTTTCTCACTCTAGGTCAGGGTGTAAGCCATGAACACATATTTTCCAACTTTTTCTATCTTGGGCTAAACTCTTGATGTTATTCCATATCTTCCCACTTTTTCTTGCAACGCAGTAAGGTCATATAAGTGCTGTAGATTAGAGGTGTTACAGGAGAGTAACAAACATTAAAAAAAGGAGGAGAGATAAGGACGATATATGTTTGATAGATAGGAAAGAAGGAGCAAACCATACCAGAGCACCCGCCAACCACCCACAATTGAAAACTTGAACAAAACGAGTGAAAAGATTGTTGAAAAAACAAGACACATTCATGGACAATTTCGACTGTATGATTCATGAGATAGTTTCCATATTGTTAGACAATTTCGACTGTATGATTCACGATATTGTTTCCCTCTTGTTAGACAGTTTCGACTGTATGATTCACGATATTGTTTCCCTCTTGTTAGACAGTTTCGACTGTATGATTCACGATATTGTTTCCCTCTTGTTAGACAGTTTCGACTGTATGATTCACGATATTGTTTCCCTCTTGTTAGACAGTTTCGACTGTATGATAGTTTCCCTACTGTTCGACAATCTCGACTGTGTGATTCATGAATTTAATACAGTTTCCCTATTGTTAGACAACTTCGACGGTACGAAATAGCTTCCCTAATTCAACAGTATGAAATAGTTTCCCTATTGTTCGATAATTTCAACTGTATGATTCATGACATTGTTTCCCTACTGTTAGACAGTTTCGATTGTATGAGTTTCACTATTGTAAGACAACTTCAATTGTATGATTCATGATATCGTTTCCCTATTGTTAGATAATTTCAACTGTATGATTCATGACATTGTTTCCCTTTTGTTAGACAGCTTCGATTGTATGAGTTTTCCTATTGTTGCTACTGCCCTCACCTTGTCCGGGTGCACGGAGAGCACGGCCTTGCGGTACCACTTCTTGACCTGCTCGGGGGTGACCAGCTGGTGCATGCCTATAGGCTTCCACCGCTCCTCCCCGTCCCACAGCACGGCTCCCATAGAGCACAGCAGCGCCCGGATGTTCCGCTCCTTGCCCGTCGTCCACTCCAGGATCTGGCCGCACCGGCGAAACAAGCAGACGTTACTTTTACCATCAATCAAACTTACAACAATGGGAGAAAAAGGGCATTCGTATATCATGCCCTGCCGCCCCGATCGGGAATTATTCGCCCAGTAGTTTAAATGAGATCGAATCTTTTTATTTATTCAAATGTCAGCTAAAATAATTTTTGTTTTTAGATTAAAGAGATATATTATACAGTGGGGTCTGCTTAAACTGAACGCGGTTAACTTAATCTGAAAACAGCAGTAAACTGAAAGAAAAAAAAATCCAAGATTTTTCCCCCCCCTTCTATTTCAGCAACTTCTCTAAATTGAAAACCTTGCCAAATCGAAGAAAATCTGGCAGTCCCACAGATTTCAGTTTAAGCAGACTCTGTCGTACATAAATTGATTTCGTCAGAACACAATGTACCGTTTATGTGTTGCTATTGTACTTGTAAAGTGTTCAGAATCTGTGTTCCTTAATCAGGGTTGAGCCCTGTATAAATGTCATATACTATTAATACTATTAAGCCTATTCAAACGATTTTTCTTTTTTTAGTAAGCTGCATATGACTGATGGGAAAGAAGTTTAAGAAAAAAAATCAAATATCATGTAAATCGAATCTAGTTTCTTCAACTGGCAAACAAACAAAAAACATCTGAAGTCTCCGATTTTATCGAGGTACTTGTCGAGTCTGTTTCCCATTCAGAACGCAGGCTTTTCTTTTTAAAAAAAACTCCACTCATTGACCAGTCTAAGGAAAATCCTCTGACCTTGAGCTTGTCCGGGTCCATCTCTTCCGCCATTTGTTTCTTCTTCATGTCGCCCATCGTCTTGGGCTCGTTTTCCTTGCGACTGGAGAACTGGTGGTCTTCCAGCAGGTCGTCAAAGGTGCTGGAGTCCAGTTTCGGTTTGGGGCCTGGTCAGAGAGCAGGAGAGGGGGAGGGACAAACAAACAGCCCAAAAAAAAAAAATTTTTTTAGTAGAGGTTTTATGGCGCTCGTTACTGCATAAGGTCATATGAGCGACAGAAGATTAAAGGTGTTACAAGAGAGTAACAAACATAAAAAAGAAAAAGGGGGGGATAAGGATGATAGATGTTCCATAGGAAAGAAGAAGCAAACCACACCAGAGCACCCGCCAAGCACCCACGAAAAATATATAATTTTTGTCAGACAAAATGAAGAAACAGAAAACAAAACCAAAAAATATATCAACAGGCATTGGCTTAGCTCCTCACACTGTAAGATTGTATCATGATCAGCTGCCCACCGCAGCGCGAGCCGAGCTGTACAGGTCTCCCCACTCACAGGTGCATATTGCTACATTGTGTTCACGAGTTTCTGTTTACGTCTCCTTGGGCAGAGGCCCCGTGAAAACGTCCTTGAGCGGGGGCGGGCCGCTGAAAACAAACGGCGACTCACATGCCAAATCTCCAGTCCCTTATCTCTCGCTGTTGTTTGCGCTCAAACATTTATGCTGTTTATCCAATAATTCAACCCAAAAAAACCCAAAGTCAAGACCAACTAACGAGTTTTACAAATCCCACAATATTTTCAAAACACTGCAAAGCTCTGCGGGCTGTCAGTCAGTCGATTGGTGAGGCGATCACTCAATAAAGCTTACCAAAATTTTTCCTGGGTCCCCTGTCCTCCCGGCCACCGATGACGCTGGTGTAGTTGGGTTTGGCAAACTGCTGCTGTTGCTGCTGCGGTTGTTGCGGTCGGTGCTGCGGGGAAGACTGCTGCGGCCGGGCCTGAGGCATAGACTGACCCTGGAATGTTCCGGGCGTCTGCATCTTGGGACTGCCCCAGCCCGCCTGCTGGAAACCTGGGACTAGAGAGAGACACAGAGAGAGATAGAATCAGAGGAAGTGAAGAAACAGAAGAAAAAAAACCCAAACCCAAATGCTATACCATTTTCAGCCTCATTCTTCTCCCAGCAAAGGACTGAACAGCTAGCTATTGCTATTAATTCGTACTAATTCACACCAAGTTTGAACTACACGGGTCACATTTACAGGGAACAGATCAAGACGATAGAAATGCTGGAGAAAACAGAAAGTTTTTGCCACAAGACTGTTAGTATTTGAGCTCTTAATCAGCCCCTTACACTGCATAATACCCGGATAGCTGTAAATGTCGCCGAGTGTTCTAGGGTCGGCTGGGGTGAAAATAAAAGTAAAAAAGCACAAAGAGGATGCTGTTGAGCAAGGATATGCGCTGTACAAATAATATTTATTTATTTATTAATTTACTTCTTCATTTATTCATTCATTTATTTTTAAATTAATTTTTTTTTAAATTTCTCATTACCTGTGGCTGGTGCCGGAGCCCTGGGCTGCATGGTGGGTCCAGAACTCTTGAAAGCATTCTTGCCTAAGTTACCTGTGTGGTGGACAAGACGAGACGTCATCACAGAAAGATCCAATAAAGTACATGAGAAAGAAAATGCAGGGCTAAGAGGAGAGAATGATGACATAAAATACACCAGGGGAGAAAAACCAGCTGAGAGAGCAAGATGAAAGAACATAAAAAAAAGCAGCCATTAGAGAAAGATAAAGTAAGGTACATAGGAAGAGAAAAAACAGCTATGACAGAAAATATGAAAGAACATAACACAGAAAACAAGAATGGCTATGAGAGAAAGATGAAATGAGACACATAAGAAAAGTCAAAAGTCATGAGAGAAAGGTTAAATAAGATACCAAAGAAAAGACAAAAGTATAACTATTGTTTTGACGATATACAATACAAACTACAGACAAACACAGGACTGGAACCTGGCTCTGTGATGTAATGGTTAGGCTCATCGCAACTGCACACAAAAGTCACTCAACAGTTACAGCACTTAGCTCTTTTTTTATCCCTCATTTCCCTCTAGCCCATGTAACACTGAGGTCTTTGACTCCTCAGGCCCAGCCAAGACAGAATGTGTCTTTCATTTCTTTCTTTCTTTTTTTTTTTTTTTTGAGACATTAACAAAATTTCTATATGGCTTTTTATTTGAAGCTTTAGAAAATAAGGTAAAATATTTTTTTAGAAACAATCGGATAGATTACAGTAAAATTACATGACTGGCTTTGAAGTGGACATCGCTCTGTGAGGGAAATGTAAGTGACCTGGCCTGAAAAGGTTAAACCCACACATTATATATACAATACAAATTACAGGTGAGTGCAGAACTGGAACCAGGCAGTGGCGTAATGGTTTGGCTCTTTGCCACTGCACGAGACAGCGAGTACAATTCCTGAACTCTCGAGTACGGAAGTGTTTTACATTGCACCTCCATCCTGTCTGCTGGGACGATGATGTACCTACTCTGCCTGGGTTGATCCCTGACAGGCAGGGTCTACAAAGCCTGCTTCCGAGATGATCTCAAGTGTCAATGAGGCTGTAAAATGTTCACATTTTAATCTACTTTAGCACATACATGCGAGGCTTGCTGACTGACAAAATGAGTTACTTCTTGGATTTCATCCCTATGGAAATAGATACGCCAAATTTATAGGTGGAGTTTGCGCAATTTATAAGTATGAAATAGTAGAAGACATGTCAAACTTGAAAACGGCATCAAGCGAAAAATTTATAAATTTGACCACACCGTTGATTTTAGGCTGATATCTTAATCCATGAATTGCGAGAAGCAACTCATTTTGTCAGCACGCCTCACAAATGGAACATGACGACACAACTCACCCAGATCTGCAAAAGGGTCAGCTCTAGGCACCTGGCCTATACCTCCCCCTCCCCCCATTCCTTGGCCTCCCATGCCCATCTGCGGCGAACTCCGACCTCCCTGGCTTCCCATCATGCTCTGGAAGTTCATGGCTGAGCCCGTGCTGGCGCTCTTATGCATCATTCCCGGGCCGACGCCCAAACTGTTGGCGCTCTGGGCACCGGCGCCAGCCTGCGCGTTGAATGTCTGGTTGCTCAGATTCTGGATGCTGGTCGCATTCCAACTGGTCATCAAATCTGGCTCCTCATTTTTGTTCCCTGCACTCTGGTCCTCCATAAAAGCGAAGAAATCGTCCTCTACATTACCACCCGATTTAGAGCTCGGCTGCGCAGTGCTGATACTCGACGCCGGCTGATTCGAAGAGGATGCGAAATTCTGGAATGGGTCAAAGGTGTCATTACTGGCTGCCGGAGTGTTGGAAGTCATGAGGTCGGGTTTGGCGGGGGATGGTGCCCGCTCGGCAGACAGCTGCTGGAAAGGGTCAAACGTGTCGGAGCCAGACATCCCCAGAAGGTCGGGCTCTCTCGGTGAAGCCATCGGCTGCGCGGGTTTCGATGTCGTGTGCCCGCTCAACAAATCTACATTAGACGGGTCTCCGCCGATGTTTAAAAAGTCTATTTGCTCACTCGTCTCGCGTACCCCTGCGTCTGTTTTCGCGGTGGTGCTGGCCGTGTTCATGTTAAGTAAGTCCACCTCCTCGGCCGGTGACTGCGCGGCCGGCCTCCTCTCCTCCGGCTCCCCGGCGAGGACCCCGTACCCTGCGGGAATGTCGTCGTTTCCGTTTGTGCGGGTCCGGCTGAGGCTGCTGAAGTCGTCCTCGTCGTCCGATTGGTCGTTGAGCAGGCCCACCTGAGACTCGGTGGGTTGTTGATTTTGTTCCGACACACCCGTGCCACTGGGGTCGTCCTGCCATTCTGGGAAAACAAAACAGAAGAAAAAAACATTGATAATCTTGCGGTGATATTTCTCTTGCTGTATCGTCTGACTCAGTGTTTGTGAGTGTCGCTCATGTAACTGTGCTGTGTCACTTAATGTGTTATGTAGCTGTGTGCTGTGTCATTCAGTGTGTCATGCAGTCCTACTGTGTCCAGTGTCAGTTCACCTGTGTATTATCGTCAGTCACAAGTGTTCCACTCAAACTAGTCGGACGTTTTTTTTTGTCTAATAAAGTCAGCTTTCAAGTATGGCTCATCCATCTTGCTTCAGGACAAACCTGTAAGACTTCATAAAGAAATCACTTGACACAACGACAACAACCCATCCACAAACATAAATGAAACAAAACTAAACCAAAAACTTAAACGTAGCCTCCTGCCTCAGCGCAGAAAAAAGAGGAAAAGTCGTGGTCTGTTTCTTTTCTTTCTCTTCGACATTACTTTTTCTTTTACTACTTCTGACAAAACCTTCCCTTAGGTGTAATTCTCACTCTGAATAGAGAGAAATGAATAGCCGTAAATATAGTTATCTAGTGGAGCAAAAATGTAAGACAGAAACAGCAGAGGGACAGTTAAGAAGTGTAACCTACCAGGAACACCCGCCAAGGACCACACACATCCAAAAGTAGAACTCAACAGCAACAACATATGTCCATTGTGCAGCGAGGAGCCCCAAGCTTTGGAGCACTGGCTGCAGAGATGCCCCGCTATTGAGGTCCGGCGGTGGCATCTCTTTGGAGAGGATTCAGGGGAGATTGGACTGCCTCAACCGCTACCCAAGAGAGGCAGTGGCCCTGGCGAAGAGCATGCTCTTCAAGGCTCCAAACAATTCGAAAGGACAGGCTCCCAAACACACCAAAAAAACCCCAGTAACACCACCAACAATAACACCGAAAACAACAAAAATCCATTCACAGATGTGAAGGGAGAAAAACCCCAACTACCAAAACCCAGACCCCTACTCCCACCACTATCATCATCATTGCCTTTCTCACCCTGGACCAGGGTATAGGCCAAGAACAAACACTTTCCTCTTTTCCCTATCCTGGGCTAGCCGCTTACCATTCCTTCATTAATCCAGAGGTGCAGAAGCTCCTCTGTCCCCCAAGATGTGCGAACAATTTGACATGTTTGCTTGTATTTTTGTACTAAGTTATACATGGTCTGGTACTGTTTGGGAGACCAGATCTACACGATGGGTGGTTGGCGGGTGCTTTGGTGGTGTGTTTCGCTCCTTCTCTCTATCAAACTACTATCGTCTTTATCTCTCCTTCTTTTTTTGTATGTTATTCTCAAGGAACATCTCTTACCTCTGGCACTTATATGACCTATTTGTGTTGTAAGTGCCGTAAAACATTCTACTAAGACTAAACTAAGACCTACACATCTTGAGAGTCCTCTCATGACCCACAGTATCACAGCCGTTGTTGTTCTTTGCTGCCCCGAGGCAAAACCAATCTCCCCCCCCCCAACATCCCCCCAGGGAAGCCCCACCACCATGGTAAAGAATTAAAAAACCCACCTAGCGTAGTGAAAAAACTTGACATTCCGTTGGCAGCAGGCTTCTTCTGCTCAGCGGCTCGCTGCTGCTCCGACTGCCTCGAGTCCTGACCTTTGACCGGCGTGCTTGGGGCGTGTTGCGGCGACTCCGTGTCAAAACTGGAGGCCCGACTCAAGCGGCTTTTGGCTCTCTCTGACACACCTGGAACACAGACACAGATGTGGGATTTGGAGAAAAGAAAAAACATCCAGATATCTGGGTAACACTCAGGGACCCCCCCCCCCCCCTGCAAAAGAAAAAAAACCCCAACCTCCCCCAATGAAACATTATACACAAAAGCTGGTAAAGCACTCTACCTCCTCCCAAAACACATAGGGTGATACAGACCCCCCCCCCCCCTCTTCCCCCCTCCAGCACACAAAAACTATCATAAACAAACAAACAAAACAAAGTATGGTACTGGAAATAACAAAGTAAGTAAAACAAATAATAACTAAATAATAAAACTGCAAAGATAAAAATATAGTTTTCTCTTGTTACCAAATTCTGAGAAAGTATGGAGAATATAATCGACTTATCCTTTCTTCAAACCAAGCTCTACAGTACAGAGACATAAACAGTATCCGTGTTCCTACCAAACTTGGAGAAGGTCTGGTGAATCTTATCTACACATTGTCTTTATTTCTAACTTAACTCTACACAACAAAGGCTCTACTATTCTGTTCCTACCAGAGTCTGAGAAAGGTTCGTGAATCTTATCTACACATCATCTTTATTTCTAACTCAACTCTTCACTATAAAGATTATACAATTCTGTACCTACCAAACACTAAGATTCTGGTGAATCTTATCTACACATTGTCTTCATTTCTAACCAAACTCTACACTATAAAGAGTATAGTATCCCTGTTCCTATCAAACTCGAAGAAGATCTGGTGAATCTCATCTAAACATCACCTTTATTTCTTACTAAAGTCTACACAACAAAGACTACTGTTCTGTTTGTACCAAACTCGGCGAAGGTCTGGTAAATCTTATCTACACACCATCTTTATTTCTAACTAAACTCTACAAAGACTAACAATATACTGTTCTATTCCTACCAAATTCGTAGAAGCTCTGGTGAATGTTATCAACGTATATCCTTACTTCAAACCAAACTCTAAACTACAAAGACTAACAATATACTGTTCTGTTCCTACCAAACTCGGAGAAGGTCTGGTGAATCTCATCCTTGGAAGAGAAGAGGATCTTGGGTGTGAGTTTGTCAGTGGGGAAGTTGTCCCAGGGCAGTCGCCGGTCGCTCTGGTTCTTCTCCGACGGGGACACCAGAAGGTCAAGGACGACGGTGAACATGTCCGGGTACTTGTCAGCCGTGTCTAACTGGTCCAGCTCGTACCTGGGGGGGTTACAAAAAGTCAGAGGTCAGGTAAACGATGTTTTTTTTTTACTCAACATTTATATCGAAGCTTTTATCAAATCTATACCATAAAGAAACACTTATTTTGTTTATTTCCTGTAGGTATTTTTACGGCCCCATTGACACAATTAAAATCATTTAGGAAGCAGGCTTCGACATTGTCTGTCAGGGTGAAGAGAAGCACATCGACACAATAACTGCCTTTTAGTTTAAGGAAATAGCAAGACAAACAGATACAAACTGCAGGGGGCGAGAAAAGGAATTTGACATACTAGCATCATCTTCCAAACAGTTGCAAAAATTAAAGATCATTTCTGCATCAATATAAATAACAGAAAATACTACTTTACAACAATTAACTTTTAATAATAAATAACATTTCTGTAGTACACATCCATGTTAAGCAGAAAGCTCTATGCACTTTACAATCTATATCACATCAGCTTTACAGAAAAGTGAAAACTTCGGCATTTATATGACCTATTTGTGCTGCAAGTGCCATAAAACTCTTACTAAAACTAAAACAAAAGTGAAAAGTGAACCATATGTCTCCAAGCATCCCACTCTCTCTTGTTTCACGCTAAAGCAGCACAATATCTGTACAAAGGACACAACACTCACTGGTGAAATTGTATACTTGTTGACCCCTCAGCGATGAAGCCAGTGTGGAACTGGATTTGGAACATCTTCATGGAGGTAATCTGAGGAGAGACAATACAACAAAAGTCATTTCATGGCCTCCTTTACTGAGGTTTGAATAGAAAAAAAAAAGCCCAGGTATGTGCAGAAGTGAATTGAAATGACTTTTCGCAAAAATGTTCACACATTCCTACGATATCTAGATTGGCATATATATTTTTTAATTCATCCAATATACAATCATAGAAACATAGAGATTGGACAATATGAACCTGATTTATTGTAGTTTAAATAGTTCTTTGTCCCTTTTACGACAAAGCATGATTTATTTCAATACATTGTCCAAGGCTTTCAAGTCAAAAGGTGGCACAGGAGAAACTTTAGGCTCAATCTTATCTAAATGAATCACAATTGCCAGAGTGTAGGAGATTGAAAGCAGAAGCAAGTTTATCTGTACTGTATGCTTTTGAGCTAGTCTATTCCCAAAACAATTCTGGGCTGAAAAGAAGATTATGCAGGTAGATCTGTACATTTTATTCACTTGTTCAAACTTTATTACAAAAATAATACACCTTTACTGTTAAGCTTTATTTCATACAACATACAGTCAAGCCTGTTTTAACAGCCACCCGTCGATGGCAATCTTTTATACAAACGTCCACCTTCCATTTCCCACTTTGCATGTAAGAAAAAATATTATCCCAACACTGTTCAAGACGTTCTGCTGTACTAACACAACCAATTTTCTCCTCCACAATGGATAGCCGGCTGTCTTGGACAATTTTGACTGTATTTACACTTTGCGGTCACTTGGCACAATAAAGCGACGGTGAAAATTATCCGTTGCGGTCACTTAAGTCCACTGTACTGTTGGCTGTGTGACCAGATGGGATATTTTGTACTCCTGGCTGGGTGACAAGATGGTGTATTTTGTACTGCTGGCTGGGTGACAAGATGGTGTATTTTGTACTGCTGGCTGGGTGACAAGATGGTGTATTTTGTACTGCTGGCTGGGTGACAAGATGGGGTATTTTGTACTGCTGGCTGGGTGACAAGATGGGGTATTTTGTACTGCTGGCTGGGTGACAAGATGGGGTATTTTGTACTGCTGGCTGGGTGACAGCACAGTGTTAAACAACCCGAAATGGGCCCAAAATAAGGTAACAAATGTTCTAGAACTGCACCTTTCCCTGAATCTTCCCCCCGAAGGTGGAGCGGGCGTGGTAGGCAATGATGGTGATGTCCCCGGCCACTGACGTATTCAGCGGCAGCATGGCCCGCCCGTCCTCCACCGTGATCTGTCTGTGGAACACACGCAAGCACAAACACAGGTCATTACACATTTCTTTTATAAATGATCATTTAACCCTATCCGTATGTCCTGTTTTACTATCGTATCCATACACGACGTGGTGACTCTGTGCCACCACTTTTCAAAGAGGAAATTTACTTGTTAATCCGATCCATACACTTTGCATAGCAGTCTGTCAAAATGATTCTTTGAGAAATACTGAAAGTTTCAAAGAGATCTTCGCACTAGAAGTATTCTAAAATGTAAAAAATACAACCCTGGGGGGTACAAAATGACCCAAGAGCGTACGTATAGGGTTAAGAAACGGGCCTCTGACCCTGCCGGTCAAGGCCAACCAAGGCTGAGAGAGATACAACACCCCAGAAGAAAGACCAGGAAACTCAATACCCCCCTCCCCTCCTCCAGGTATCAAACTAGGATCTCCTGCTTTCAACAGCAAAGCGCCTAACCACTATGCCATAGACACTGGTTGAGACAAAACATTTCTTTTTCACTCGAAAACTCAGCATTCTTTTCTCTACAGTATCTAAAGTCTTAAGTATGGTAGAAGTACTCATACTTCTAACCATAGCATCCTTTCTTTACCCTCACATAGACACTTTTCTAGACAATCAACTCCTTCAGTAGCTACAATCCATGAACAAAAACCTGGACTTTTATGAACAACTTCAAGAATCTATATTCCATTCATTAATCAGACCTGCAGTCTTGTCTCCCCCCCCCCCCCCCCCCCCCCACACACACACATAATCCCTCCTTCTCCCACCCTCCCATTTCAAATCAAAACTTCCATAAAATACACCCAAAAAGAAGAACATAGGTTAAAAACTTTAAAAATCATGCTTTATCAGCCACCCAATAGGAGATCTCACTTACCTCATCTTTTCATACTCTTGTGATGTGGACAGCACTCTCTCATCCCCAATGTAGACTTCCACAAACGGCGTGCAGCCATTCCTGTCAAGTGGACATAGTACACACCTTTCAACAACCATCGAACCTTTTGAACCTTGACCTCATGAGGCTATCATGACCCTTTTGCCTGAGCTCTGAGCGACGCACACCTATATTTGATGTGGTATTTTTTAAATTTTTTTTACCAAACTGCACGCTCAGATGGACTCTAACATCTTGGCAAAATCTTAACCGAAATAAATATAGTTTTTAAACTACATGTAACTTTGCATGATCAATTCATTCAACAAAATCTCTACCTATGTGCATAATTAAATTTGCTTTTTCTTTAACCTGTAAAAATGAAGAACAGCTCAATACATGCAAACATTCCCACATGGAAATAATCTGACTCAGGTCTTCTGCTTCGGACGGCGATGAGCCTAACTGTTACACCACATACATTGGTGCAAGTATTAGTAATAACAAATAGCATTTGTATAACGCATAACCCTGCTCAACAGCAAGCTCTAGGCGCTTCACGCTGTATTATTATCCCGGCAGACAATAGCACACTCAGAAAAACATTCTCAGCTTCCAGGGAAGCATACAGTGCAAGCAGCTGATTAAGCGCTCAAACACTAACAAACTGACAAGATCTTTCACTGTCTATACCTGGGTACCCATTCCCACCTGTGTGAAGTAAAGAGCCTTTCCCGAGGACACAACGTTGGGCCCCAGATGGGATTCGAACCCACGACCTTACGGTTGCGAATCCAAGAGCCTAATCACTAGACCACTGACGCAACAAAGTCAACAAAAAAGGTATGGTGTCACTAGACGGGTCACAATAGTCATTATGGTTAGGCAGTAGAGTCGGCCCACAACTGAAAAAGTTGTGGATTTGAACCCCTACCAGAGACCCAAAACTGCATGCACGGGAAAGGCATTTTGCACAGATTTTCCTCACCTCACTTCACCCACATGGGAATGGGTACCCAGCCATAGACATAGACAATGAAAAATCTAGTTCGTTTATTGGTGTTTGTTTGCACTGTATGCTTCCCGGGAAGCCAGGAATGTTTCTGAGTCAAAATTCTCGGGTCTGCTGGGGTAATAATAGTTGCAAAGCGCATAGAGCATGCTGTTGAGCAGGGATATCATCATAATCCAGTGCCAGATCTGTGGCAGACATCGGCGATCATGGTTCTCCATTCAGTCCTTTGCTTGGACGCTCTTAAAAAAGCTAAGTTTTCCAGATCTTTCCCCGTTAGCCATTTGCTTAGGTTCCCTAAGTATGTTGCTCTGAGCCTACCCCTTCCTCGTTTACCTTCAATTTTTCCAGTGAGAGCTAGATGTTCAAGACCTCTATGTCTTGATATACCCTGTACAAATGCTATTTATTATGATTTTAATTATTATTAAATTGATGAGAACAGCAATGTCTTTTACTCACTTCATCTTGTTGAAAAGCGGCAGCGGTCGCATCTGTAAGGCCTTGAGTAAGACGGGCCGGCTGTGAGGTAATACTGGTCTGTCGGCCACCATCTGGCCGATGTAGTCTATGTATCTGAGGAGAGGCATGAGGGTAAACTTGCGAGATGTGAAAGGATGGGAGAGGACAGATTTGTTGGTTGTTTTTTTGCTTATTGGGGGGGTTGCTTTGTTTTGTTGTTTTTTCGTTGGGTTTTTGGGTGGAGGGGGGGAGGGGTGTTGTTTGAGCTTTTTTCTTTTTTTTTTAGGGGGGGGGTGGTTTTTTAGCTGGGTTTGTTTTTGTTTTTTTTGGGGGGGGGGGGTTTGGGGGGGGGTTGTTTGTTTACAGCTTTATTCTTTTTGGGGGGGGGGGGGGCATTTACAGAGGAGGGGGGATTACAAGGAGAGATCATGTTGCTTTTTGGGGGTTTTGTTATTGTTTTATGGCTGACATTTACCTCTTCTGTGAAGGAGCATTGTTGGATCTCAGGGATCCATCTCAACACACACACCCCTCCCCCCTTTACACACATCCCTCTTCCTCACCCCTCCCCCCCTTCACGTCACCAGTTCCCATAATCCCACCCCTCCCAAATCCCCACCAACATGTACCTCTTCTGTGATGGGGCTATGCCAGGCTGAGATCTCCTGGCTGTGAACAGATGCATAGCTGCTGAAGCATTCTCAAACAGACGACAGAACACCAGGAACGATCCTATCACACACGCTGAGTTGGCTTTTCCATCCTGCAGACCAAGAAGAAAAGGGTAACTTAAGATAGAATGAACAATTAACAACAATGTGTGTCTGAGTGTGTGTGTGTGTGTGTGTGTGTGTGTGTACGTGTGTGTGTGTGAGTGTGTATGTGAGTGAGTGAGTGTGTATGTGAGTGAGTGTGAGAGAGATAGAGAGAGAGAGAGAGAGACAGAGACAGAGAGAGAGAGAGAGAGAGAGAGAGAGAGAGAGAGAGAGAGAGAGAGAGAGAGAGAGAGAGAGAGAGAGACATGGAGACAGAGAGAGAGACATGGAGACAGAGAGAGAGACATGGAGACAGAGAGACACACACACACACACACCGAGACAGAGAGAGAGAGAGACACACACATACACACAGAGACATAGAGAGAAAAAGAGAGAGATATTTGTTTGTTTGAGTAAAGAGAAGAACATCCACACAATAATAGTCATATAGTGCTGGGGAAAAAGTAAAACAGACAGACAGAAACAATAGAGGGAAGATAAAGAAGTAGGACCTACCAGTGCTGCCCTCCAACCACCCACACAGACAGAAACAACAGAGGGAAAGTAAAGAAGTAGGACCAACCAGTGGCACCCTCCAACCACCCGCACAGACAGAAACAACAGGGGGAAAGTAAAGAAATAGGACCAACCAGTGGCACCCTCCAACCACCCCCAGAGACAGACACAGAGACAAAAAGACAGACAAAGAAAGAAAACAGAACTTCTCACAACAACAGTAAAATTAATAGACAGAAAAAATAAAACAAAACAAAACAACAATACTCACCAAACAGTGGACAACACAAATATTCTTGGGCGTCTGCCGGAGCCAGAGGTGCATGTTTTTACAGATGGCATACAGGTTGGTCAGGGGAGGGGCTTTTTTGGCCGTCCAACCACACTCAGACACCTGGAGATATTGGAAAATAAATAGTCACTATTTTATACAAGGATCCTAAATCAGAGAGAGAAAAAACCAGCATCTTTTCACACTCTAAATGAAAGAAAAACAAAACAAACATAGACACCCTGGCAAATTGACCCCCCCCCCTCGATTCTCCATTTGACCCACAGTAAAACAGAACTCAAAAGCCTACTCACTCTATTTTCAAACTTGGCGACTCGATACGTTCTCTGACTTAGATTGTACACAGCGTAGCAGCCGTGGTGGCGGGACTCGAGGAAGGAGCGAACGTCGTCGATACTGTTTTTGATGGCCGACTCCACGCCCTCCGCAGGGTATGACATCACTGGGAATAATAATAATAATAATAATAATAATAATAATAATAATAGATAGCATTTATACAGCGCAAGTGCCCGCTCAACAGCAAGCTCTATGCGCTTCACAATCTATACTATGACCCCCAGCAGACCTGAGAGCATTCTGAAATAACCTCAACTTCCTGGGAAGCATACAGAACAAGCAGCCATTTATAGGCACTAAAACACTAACATACTGAAAAGATCTTTAGAAACAAGGGTACATGTATGTGTTTAATTTAAAACAGATATTGCTGAGAACAGAGATGGGTGTAAATAAGAGATTCTGAATAAAAGAGACATCACTGAAAATATACCCGAGTGTAAATAAACTCAAGTTAAACAGACAATATGAAAAACATACATGAAGGTAAATAAACAACTCTGATTGATAACAAATATCAGCAAAAACAGAGACAGGTCCAGGTGAAAATACACAACTCTGACTAAACCCGATTCTTCAGTTTTAGCCAGTTTTAGTGCACTTGCAACACAAACAGGTCATATATGGACTGTAGATTAGAGAGGTGTTACTACTACTAGAGAGAGACCTAAAAAAGGAAAGAAAGAGGAGAAAACAGGAACATAGATCTATGATAGGAGAGAAGTAGAAAACTCACAACAATAAATATCAGATTATCATTATGCTATAAACAGACCCAGATGATACTGCGCAATTTGCGACACATGTGATGACTTCTCTGTACAAATTTTTTTTTAAGTATCAGATTATCAGGATGCTATAGACTCAGCATTCTGCGACACAAACATAAAATCAACTGCTTACCAACAATTCTAGAGGTCAAGTAGGATATATCCATGTCTGTCTTGTTGATGGTGCTGGAAGGGGGGAAAAATAACCAACGTTAGGCGCATTGACAAAATGGATCAATAACAACAACTGGATCTACAAAATGAGATAGATACTTCTCGAAATCTTACTTTGATTCAGGTAAAAGTCTCACTTTGACCTAGATATACAAGTCTTTCTTTGACACAGGTATTGACACAGGTATAACAGTCTTACTTTGAACCAGGAATAAAAATCTTATTTTGACTTAAGAATAAAAGTCTTACTTTGACACAGGCATATAAGTAAGTCTTACTTTGACACATGTATAAAAGTCTTACTTTGAACCAGGTATAACAGTGTTACTTTGACACAGGTATACAAGTTTTACTTTGACACAGGTATACAAGTTTTACTTTGACACAGGTATAAAAGTCTTACTTTCACCTAGGTATAAAAGTGCTACTTTGACACAGACAGAAGACTTATTTTGACACAGGTACAAAAGTCTTACTTTGACACAGTCTCCATGACTTTGCTGGAGGCATCCTTGAGGTTTTTGAACATGCTCCCGGCTCCTCCTTTCAGAGAATTGAACAGGGACCCTGCACCGAAGCCACCCTCATTGGCCTGGCTCTGGGGCTGGGTGTAGGGCTGTCTCCTCTCTGGGGTGTCTGAGGACACAAAAGTACGTTAGTTTTAGAAAGAGTTTTACTGCACTTGCCATGAAATAAAGCCATATAAGTGCCAAAGTTTTGAGGTGTCACTTGAGAGAAACATACAAAGAAAAGAGGAGAGGAGAGATAAGGATGACAGATGTTTGATAGGAGCAAACTACACCAGAGCACATTCCTACTTCCACTAGTTTGTTTTAGTAAAGAGAAGCATGTTAACAAAATAACTCCCATTTATAGAGTAGGTACAAAGTAAGACCGATAGACAGAAACGACAGAAGGAAACACAAAAAAGAAGTGGACCTATATCAGTATCTGGGGTGCCAAAGGAACTGAAATTTGCCCTACAATACTAAAGGACCCACCAGCCCATTTTACCTCATATGTTTCAGCCATGCAGCACACATAATTTGATTAACAAGAAAAAAGAGACTGAATAAGAAAAATACTGGGGGACCCCCACACACCAAAAGCTAACTTTCATTGTACATGTAAATGTTACGCCTAAAAGAAGAAAAACAAATCAGAACATGTGGAAGGCAAACAGACATGCTGTAATTTTTACCTTAAGAAGCCGACCACTCTCATATCTTATTACATGTATGTATACTACCTGTGTTTGTCTATGGAGTTACCATGTTATGTGCTTGTTGTGAGAGAGGGAAGGAGTGAGGGAACAAGTCTGGGAGGGAAGAAGTGAGTGAACCGGTGAGGGAAGGAGAATGTGATGTGTTGTTATCATGCAATGTGTGTACATTTTGGGTAACAGAATCTGGTGAAAGCACACTGTAAATTTCTTCCAATGATAAAGTTTTTATTCTTTTTCATTTCATCTAAAAAAAAAACAATAAAAAAAAAAAAAAAACAGGAATGTATAACTGCCAACTTTTCAAAAAAAATTGTTTTTAACCCAGACACTTGTAGGGTTAACATACTAGCTGGCAGCTGTGGGAATGAGACAAACAGACAGATGACTGACCGGGAGGGGTGGCGTACGCCATCTTGGGGAAGGACAGGGGCTCTCGGAGGTTCACGTCTTTGGCTTGAGCAATCTCGTGGAGTCTGTCGATGATGTCGTTGATGCCCGGTCGCTCCTCCGGGTTCACTCTAAGCATACCACCTGGAAAGGGGAACAAAACAGGGCAAACTTTATATATCCTCCACCAGAAATAAAAAAATTGACGTGTACCTGTTTTTACACCTACACTGACAATGTAGGTCATTGAAGTATTGGGGCTTCGACCCTGCCTGTCATGGCTAACCCCGGCTGAGAGGGATACAACATCCCAGAACAAAGAACGAGATACTCAATAAAAGTTCTCCAAACTCGGGAATCGCACTAGGATCTCCTGCGTGCGACTGCGAAGCGCCGAACAGAGACACAGGTATCCTGCACATTGACATTGAGATAAAAACCGCCAGGACACAAAGATATAAGGTATTCTTGTTCATGTGTACACTAAAAGTCAATTCAATCAAGCTTTTTGTTTAGACTCACTCTCAAAGTATTCCAAACTTCGAGGAAAACAAATCAAAACTATTTATAAGAAATTTTGTGTAACTGACTCTCGAAGTATCCAAGTTTGGAGAAAAACAATTGAAAATATTAAACTCTTATCAACAAATTTTGCATACCCACAAAATAAAAGCAAAACACATCCAGTCAACAGTTTTACACATATTTTTTTTTACAAATTTCACTTTTTGCACACCAGCTCTCACAATACACCAAAAAAATTGGGGAAAATTATTATCTTTACGTTTCTGTTTTCAAACTTTGGCCCAGTCATTTTCCAAATCTAAAAAATCCTCGATACCAATACCTGTGCTCAAATATCTTATATACATTATAATATTTTCGAATATTGCACCAAATAAGCCTAACAACATTCCAAGAGAGATACTCACGTATAAGGTCGTGGAAGAGGTCGTACTCTGTGTCTGACTCAGGTATGACAAAGTTTGCATTGATGATTCTCAGTTTGGCAGAGTCCTCAAAGGGATGATCGTAGAAACACAGCTTGAAGAGAAGACAGCCTAGAGCCTGGGGAAAACAACAATAGGAACAACTCCAGGCTTGACGCACAGGTTGAGGAAACAGAAGCACAATTTTATCTATTTAATTTTTTTGTTTTGCTTTAGTAAGAGTTCTATATGGCACTTGCAATATAAATACGTCAAATAAGTGCTGAAGGTTAGAGGCATTATTAAAGAGTAATATACAAAAAAAAGAAGAAAAAGAGATTTTTTAAAGTTTCAGTAAGAGTCTTACAGAATTAAGATCTTTAAAATTCCAAGACCACACTAGACGTACCCAGATATCACAGGCTTCATTGATGGGAAAGTTCTGGTACAAGTCAAGCATCTCAGGAGCTCTGTACATCGGCGTTGTGTTCTTGGTGATCTGGGGAGGACACGGCACACACACACATAGTGAACAGATGGCTATACAGTCAGGAATGAAAAACCTTAACATGTAGGGGATTTATTAATGTGTTTGATACATACATAATTCGTGCTAACCAATAACGAAAAATTAAAGATATATCAGTTGGCGAAGGGCAAATTGTATCATCTATCTGTGATTCCGAGTTTTCCATGTTCGTGTAATCTGTGTGTGACTGTACATCCTTTCTCCTGATTCTCGTTCTTCAGGCACCTGATCTGAAGCAGACATCGCCAATTATGATTCTCCATTATTTCTCTGCTTGGATGACTTTAAAAAAAAACAAACAGTTGCATTATCCTGGTTTGTTTTCCCAAATACAAGATCTGAAACAGATATCCACATCATCGTTTTTGCCACTTATTTCTCTGCTCAGATGCCTTTTTAAAAAATCTACAATATTATCTGGGTTTTCTCCCATCATTCATCCATCTCTTCAAGTACTGCAAAGTCAGTGCTATAAAAAAAAAAGGACGTAAATAATTCAAATACCACAAACTTCTTCATAAAAAAAAGTTTACATTTAACATCCTAGCTTACGATTCAGTTTGGTGCAAACCTTGTAATATTTTAAGCTCCATACTATGTCCACAAAAAATATAATAAAACAAAATTTTAATTTACAGTAGAATTCAGCCAAATAAAACCTTCTAGCCCCCACCTTAAGCTTCAATTTTCCTCACCCCCCCCCCCCCCCCCCCAAAAAAGAAAGAATAAAACCCAAAGAATGCTCTTTGTTACATAAACAACACTTAGCCAAGTACACTAAATATAATAAACCAAGATCAAACTTTACTTTAAATTTAAAATAAAATTCTGGAAAAAAAACAAAACACACAAAAAAAACCCACCTTCAACCCCCCCCCCCCAAAGCAATCTGTCTAATGAATAAACCCCAAAGAACACTGTCCGTCACAGCGTCACAGAACGGTTGGCGACCCACACACTCACCTCATCTTCCACCAGGCTGCGCTGTATGGCGGACCACGAGGAGTCTGG